GGGCGCAAGATGTATGAGACGGGCGGGGCCCACGGCTGCAGGGGAATGCACGGAGCAGCGCAAGGAGGAGAGCAGGGAGGAGCAGGGGGCCATTGGTGCACTTCCGAGAGAGGCAGCAGTGACGGGCGAGCTGCTGAGCGGGCAGCACCTTCGCGGGCCAGATGTGCAGCGGGATGCGGGTGGCCACTCCGCTGCTGGCCGAGCCTGCTACCGACGCTGCCGCCGATGCTGCTCCGGCCTGGCCTCCCACGCCGTTGCTCTTGCTGCTGCTGCCTCCCACACCCTCCTGCTGCTGCTGCTGGCCGCGAGCGGCACGGTACTTCACTATCGCTTCCAGATAGTACAGGTACCGCACAGCAGTGCCGCGGAAGGTGGGCGGCAGCCAGGCTGGCAGCGTGAACCTGCACCGGGCAACCCCCCAGCATCACACACGTCAGGGACCACATCGGCTGCTTGGGGCACAGTAGGCTCTACCTGGGCATGGCAGCACAGCAGGGCGGGCGCCCCACCTGACCACAAACCGCCGCAGGCTGAGGTCGCTGAACGTGCCCTGGGTGGCTGCCTGCAGCCTTGACTGCACCACATGCCGCTGCACCTGCGGGCAGCCGATGCGCAGCAGGCACAACGCAGCACACAGCCGTCAGCATGCCATGCTGGCTTGATTCAACGGTGTGACGGGTTGCGAATCAACCGCGTCCCTTTCGGTCCACAAGTGCCTCGCCCCAGCGCGCCCAGCCAGCAGGCACCTTGCGCTTGTCGGCATTGATGGGTGGCGTGGCGCGCCGGTACGCTGGCTGCACCCAGGACGTGTCTATCCGCTCGATGCCGCTGAACTCAATCTCCACCTCCTGCGCCACAAAGTGGGGCGGGGGCGCACACCGGGTTTGATTCAACTCAAGAGGGACCCCGCTCTGGCCACGCATGCCTACAATGTCCCAGTTAGGCCACCTCCTGCCCACCTGCAGCTCTACGGCCTCGGGCTGCGAGCAGGAGACCTGCAGCAGCGCGGTGACGGTCTCGCCGGGGCGCGCCGCCGCCGCCGCCAAGGTCAGCTGGCAGGCCACCAGGCTCGCGCGGCCAACTGGCTCGGCCATCACCGGCGCCTATGGCTTGGTCTCGCCGCTCCGCAATGAGGTGGCCAACTGTTGCACGCCCATGATCGAGCTGCAGGGGCTTGGTGCAAGGTGCTGGGTGGATGGATGGAACGTGGCAACAATAGCACACACAGGCAAGCGCAAGACGAGCGAGGAAGGCTCCTGTACTGTGAGAGTATTGCCAGCTCCTTGGTTTGAGTTGGTTGGGGGCATTCGCGCGTATCCACAGGCTGGTGATTGGTCACAGCTTTTTAATTCTACGGCGTGCATGTAGAAGGCCAGAAGGTCGCGGCCAAGGGAATGGAATTCCTCGCGAACTTCAAGCAGCAACTGGAATGCTCCCAGTGGTAGGCGCGGGCTGGTCAGCTGTGTCCGATAGAACAGCCTCGGCGCGCGTGCCCTGATCCACCTTGCGCCGCCAGCCACCGCCAGCCGGCTGCCAGTGGCTGACCGACGTCTTTGCAAAATGCACCACATTGCTGCTGCTCTCCCGGTGCAGCGGTGCACTGTTCGACAAGCCACACAGCTTTTCGACCTGCGGCCACACCTTCTGCTAGTAAGGAACCTTACTGCTCACATCGCCAGCCCTCCTCCCTCCGCACCCGGCACCGCTGCTGGCCAACCAAGGGTGCCTAGCCTTGGGCACCTTAGTTTGTGCTGGCCGCTGATTTTTTTTGATCCAATTTGTTCCGCCTGACTGCAGTGAATGCGTGATATCCACCCTGGAGGGTCCCGGCATCAGCAAGAGCGAGTGTCCCGTCTGCAGCAGGCCGGGGTGGAAGAATGACCTCCGCAAAAACCACCCACTCGCCAGTGTGGTAGAGACCACGCAGAAGATTTCGATCAACGCGGACAAGAACCAGGAGCAGAAGCAGGCAGCGGCAAGGGCGTCACGGCGCAAGCATGCACAGTCCGCAGCACCACCCGTCGGGCCCGGCAGCACTGCGGCTGCCTCGGACGCAGCGCGCGGCAGTGTCGGCGCAGCGGTTCGGCAGCATGCCAGCCGCAGCCGCAGCCCAAGCGCGATGCGGCGGCGGTGGGATCGTTCCGTGCCTGATCCAGAGGCCCAGGAAGGGGAGGAGGAGGTGGGCAGGAGGCAGGTGCAGTCAGCAGGGCAGCCGCAGCAGGAGCATGGGCAGGAGCAGGAGGAGCAGCAGCAACAGCAGCCGCACACGGCAGAAGGAGGGCGGGGGCGGCACGCATCGAGCGCAGGGCCTGCTTGCTCAGCTAGCGAGCAGCAGCTGGCGAGAGCAGCAGCGGCAGCAGCGGCGGCAGGGGAAGAAGCGAAAGCCGTGGTGGGGGCACGGCCGGATGGCGTTGGCACTGTGCCTGCTGCCGACAGCGTTTCAACTCGAGCGGAGCCCACCACCCCCGACGCCGTGGTTTATGACTCTGATTGGGAAGAGCGGGTGGGTGCTGCCATGCCTGTGCACCCCCCTATGGGCCACGGCCGCTGCTCTGTGCTTCCTTGGCAACATGCGCCCGTGCCAGACATCGCCCGCCACCTGCCGGACGCTGGGTTTTGCCTGCCTGCGCCGTCACCGTGCAGATGCTGGCACTGCCGCCGCCCGCCCCTGAGGAGCTGCCTGCCCTGGAGGTGGAGCTGGAGCTGCTGAAGCAGGCGCTGCTGCTGTGTGACCAGCTGCCGTGCCTGGGCGGCCCGGCAGCCCCGGCAGCCGAGGGAGGCAGCGGCAGCGCAGCGGCGGCGGCAGCGGCGGCGGCAGATTTGGGAGCACAGCCTTCTGAGCCGGCTGCGGATGGCTGCCCTGCAGTCATGGCCCCTCCCCAGCACGAGCCATGGCAGAAGGAGGCAGCAGCCGTGGCGCAACCTGAGGCAGAGATGCAGCAAGCTGCTCCGGCGGAAGCAGCAGCAAACCCGGCAGCACTGCATGTTGAGGGCGTGCAGGGCGAGCGGGTGTTGCAGGTGCTGGGCCCAACTCAGGAGCTTGATGATGAGACAGGCGAGCGCCGCTTGTCAGGTGGGTGGCACAGCGCAGCGGTTCTGGCAGTGGCGCGCATTCCAGTGAAGCAGACGGCTACGCATTGCGGTAGAGGGCAACACACCCTTTTGCCGGCCTCGCTGGCTGCGAAATCTGGCCTCCCGCCTGTGAAGATAGCTGCGGGCAGAGCTGACTGCCGCCGCTGCCGCTGCTGTACGCTCCAGGTCGGAAGCGGCGCAAGCGCTACTCTGGGCGCAGCGTGTCGGCAGCCAGCCGCACCGCGTCTGCCGTCACGACTGCGGCAGGGCCTGGCAGGGTGGGGAAGCAGGAGCAGGCGCAGCAGCCAGCTGGCGCTGCACAGGCGGCTGTTGCTGGTGGCAGCGGCAGCGCCTTGCAGAAGCGTGTGGCCCCGGGAGCCAACAGCAGCAGCGACGATGACGACGCTTTCAAGCAGCCGCCGGCGCGGCGGCAGCAGCGCACGGTCCAGCAGCGGGGTGCGGAGCGGCCCTGCAAGGCGGCCCTGCGGTGCGGCGAGAAGGTGGAGGTGCTGTGGGCGGTGGGGTGCCAGGCGGGCGCCCAGCTGGTGCCTTTCCACGGCCAGGTGGTGGCAGTCAACCCGGCAGAGGTGCGTGGATCTCAGGGGCTTATGCGCCGGTTGGCACAGCACTGGGCTCGCAGTCGCAAAGGATGGCTGGCAGCTGAAAGCAGGCCTGCCTGCCCTGGCCTGCCCTTTCTCGACTGACCGCCTGCCTGCCTGCCTGCCCTTGGGCGTGTAGGGGCGGCACCAGGTTGAGTACGTGGATGGCGAGGTGGCGTGGCACGACCTGGATGAGGAGCAGTGGCGGCTGCTGTCGTACCGCGAGTACCAGCAGGCGGTACAGCAGTACCAGCAGCGCAGCAGCAGCACTCAGGGCAGCGGCGGCAGCTCCTCGCCAGCAAGCACGGAGGGCAGCGGCAGGGTGAGCAGTGGCAGCGAGGGGGCAGGGCATGTCGGTGCAGCGGCGCCGCCCGCTGAGAAGGCACCACCCGCAGCAGCTGCGGCCGCAGGCGCGGATCCCTATCTGTTCATCTCCAACACAGAGGTGCAGGTGGATGCAGCGCTGCCACCTGGCAGGCCGCCAGGGCAGCAGCATCAGACCCACAGCGTGCAGCAGAGGCCATTGCCGGCAAGGAGGCCGTTGGCGCCGCCGCCTAAGTTCCACCAGGCTCCGCAGCAGCCCCACAAGCAGCTGCCGCCGCCACCGCAGCACCAGCATAGAGAGCTGCAGCAGCAGCTGGAGTCCTCACAGCTGCACGACCCCGAGTGGTTGCAGGCAGCCGCCGGCAAGCCCGCGGAGCAGCAGCAGCTGCCGCACTCGGCAGCAGCAGCCCCAGCAGCATCGGCCGCTGCCATCCAGCAGCAGTTTGGAAGAAAGCGCAAGCTCCTTCCTGGTGAGGATGGCGTGCTGCCTGACAGGCTGGAAGCACCAGTCTCTACTGCTGCTGCTGCCGGCGGCGCAGGCCATGCCCCGCTGGCTGACAGCCAGCAGGGGGAGCAGCAGGAGGAGGGGCACACGGCAGCTGCCACCCACCATGCGCCATCTACCCAGGATGCCGCCGGAGCGCTGTTTGAAATGCTGGCTGGGCAACAGCCCATCCCATTGGCGGCGGCAGCCAGCGGAGGTGCCATTAAAGGCAGAGGTGCCCTGCCGCTGCAGCCAACCGGCAGGCACAACACGGCGGCACCGGCATCAGCAGCCGCCACTTTTGTGCCCGCCAGCCAGCTGCTGGTGAATGGCCAGCAGCCAGCGGCGTGTGCAGCGCCGCCAGCACCGGCGGCAGGCATGCCTGCCGGCCCTGCATCACGGCGCAGCGGCAAGGTGCTTCAAGACCCGGGCCTCTTTGCCAGCGACAGCGAGGAGGTGGGCATTGGCGCAGCCCCTGTGGAAGCAGCGCCAGCAGCAGGGGGCCCGGCAGCAGCCTCGGAGCTTGGGGATGTCCAGCAGGGAGGCCACTCCGAGCAGCAGGAGCAGGAGGGAGAGGAGGAGGCGCCGCCTGCGCTGCGGGTGCAAGATCTGTTCAAGGGCGCATCACCTTCCCAGCCGAGCCTCCACGGCTCTCCCGAGGCGTCACCTGCCGAAGGGCAGGCGGCGGCGGGGCCGGCGCCGGCACCCGCTAGCGGCAGTGGCACAAGCCTCGATGCGCCGTGCCAGCCCGCCGCCGGCCGGCGGTGCTGGGTGATTGGCGGCAGCAACACGGAGATACAGGGGCAGGCGCTGCGGCTGCAGGCGCTGCTCGGGGGGCTGGATCTGGAGGAGAGTGTGACAGAGTGAGTGCCTTGGGGCGTTGGCTGGCCTGCTGGGGCGCTCGCCTGCCCCTGCCTGGGCGCCCGCTGCCCCTGCCGGTACTGCGCTTCCCGCCTACCCCCATTTCCTGCCCCCTGCTGCCATGGCGCCCTGCCTGTTCGCCCGCCCCGCCGCTTGGCAGCTCACAGGCTGGCCCCGCTGCCTGGCCCCACCTGCAGGCGCACCACACACGTGCTGGTGACTGTCGACGACCATGGCCGCCTGAAACACCGCAGGCACGCCCCGTCCCCCGGCCTTGCCCGCCTGCCCTTGTGACGCCCCTCGCCTGCCCGCCTGTGTCGTTGGCTCCCTGCCTGCCCTTGTGGGCCTGACCTTGTGGCCGCCTGTCCTGACCCCAAGCCCCTCTGCCCCCCCTCACTCTTTGCAGCATGCAGTACCTGCAGGCCCTGGCCCACGGCTGCTGGTTGGTGAGCCACGCGTATGTGGGCGCCTGCCTGGATGCGGGGGCCTGGGTGCCGGAGAGGCAGTACCAAGCGTGGGTGAGTGGACGGGGGTGGGGATGGTTGGGTGGAATTGGTTGTTGTTGAGCCGTTGTGGTGGTGGTGGAGGGCGGATGTGAGGGTGGTTTGCCGGCCATGGCATGCTGGCTGCCCGTGAGGGTGCCTTGCCGACTTCGCCGCGCCCCAATCGCTGCACCCGCAGGGCCAGAACGACAGCCGCGATGCGCCCATGCTTGCGCGGCGGCGCCGTGCCACGGGCGCTGCCGGCCTCTTTGCTGGGCGCCGCATTTTCCTGGTGGCGGAGCGCGGCGGCAGCGGGGCGGTGCACAGCAAGCTGGCTGCCACCCAGCAGATGGTGGCGGCAGAGGGCGGCACGCTCGTGCGCAGCCTGGCTCATGGCGAGGGCGGCGGGCGTGGCGGCGCAGCGGCCACGCCCTCCCCATCCCCCGAGGGCTCCACGCTGCTGGTGTGGATGATCCAGACTAAGCAGGAGGCACTGGCAGCGCTGAAGCACGCGCAGGTGAGGCGGGCAGTCTTTCAGCTGTGGCACATTGCGCATGTGCGGTGCACATGTGTGAGTGGGATTGTGTGTCAGTTCCAACTCCAGCCATGCATGGGGCCACCACCACTGCCAAGCTGGGCCACGCTCGACGTTGTCCCCACACACCATGCGGCCCTTTCCGCCACCCCTCTTCACCCGCAGAGGCGCTACCCCGGCCGCCCTGTGCACCACCCAAACTGGGTGTTTGACAGCCTGTGCCGCGGCAGGTGCCTGGACCCAGCTGGTTACGTCGTCACGGAGGAGCGACCCTTGCCATCCGCCCTATCTGCCAGCGGCGACAGCGGCATCGGCAGGATGAGCCAGGCGACGCAGGGCTGATGGTGCTGCCCCTTCGTATACCTCATGTGTTGGGCAGGGGAAGCACCAGCTTAGCGGCACACCAGCTTGGTGGTCGCATGCCCGGCCCCCTACTTACCCACGCTTCCTTTGCAATTCCTTGTCTTTGATTCTAATTGATTTTCGTAATTGTTTGGCTTTGCTACCAGTGATTCAACCTAGCCCACTTATTTGCAATGTGCCTCCTGGCGATGGTGTTCCAGACTGGACCGCCGTGTGGCCACAGCTGCTCATGGGTTTTGGGGGCAGGATTGGGGGCTGAGGGTGCCGAGGAAGGATTTTCGAAGCCTGGGCAATGCCAACAGCCACCAGGGAGGCTTTGGCGGCAGAGGGGGCACAGCGCCGCACTTGGGTCCACCGGGGGTTAACCCCCGCCCGTGCACCAGCCTTCGCGCAGGCGGCCTTGCCCTGTTCCAATCAGCGGTCGTCCAATCAGAGGCATATTGATCGAGGACCCTAGGCACCGGGTTACCCCTTCTAGCCCCTGGGGCAGATCATAAGCAAAAGCTACAGGGAAGTGACAGATGGTGGTGTCCGCTGGGCACCGGCGAGCAGGCACATCATCTGAAGCCGACGATTCCTGCAACCTCCGCCGTTACCCATCCAGCTAGAGGCTCACCAATGCTAGCACTGCTGCTCTTGGCCGTGTTTTTTGCCGCCCTGGGAGCAGCGGCGCTGGCCCATGACCCGGTTCAGGTTGGCGGGCCCAGTCCAGCGATAGGCGGCGAGCTTTCAATGGAGTTACCGCTTATTTCCGCATCAGGGGACGCAGCGGAGCCCGCACAGGCTGGGCCGCGGGGTGCTGGTGCCAGCACCACCCACCCTGAAGAGGGGGCACTTGGCGGCGGCGGCTCGTGGCAGCCTACTCGGCTGGTGAGCTGAGGCTTCTTGAAGCTTTGTGGCACTTGTGGCACAATGGTCTCGCAGTGAAGTGCTTGGAATGACATCTGTGTCGTCTGCAGCACTGCCCTGCACTTGGATGCGGGCCGGGGGCGGGCGCTAGGTCACGGGGCGGCAAACCACCCAAGGCGATGCATGTAGTGCGCATCCACCCTGTGTCCCCCCATATGCCCCTGCAGGGCGTTGGGATGTCTGGAGCAGCTCCTGCAGCCTATGTGGAGCGCCTTGTGCTGGCCGCCAACCACACGCCCCAGCCGCTGCCGCTGCCGCCGCCCGCCGGCGCGCTGCCACAGCTGCCAGAGGGCACAGAGGGTAGTTCAGCCATCATTGGCACTGCGGCAGCGGCGCTGGTGCTGTGCGCCTTGTGGCTCACCAGGCGGGATCAGCAGGCGCAGCGGCGGCGGCGGCCGCCGCCGCGGGAGCAGCAGCAGCAGCCGGAGCAGCAGGCAGAGCGTGCCAGCAAGGCGCGGCAGGCGCTCTGCCGGCGGCTGGACAGCCGGGAGCTGTCCATGCTGTCGCCCTTTGCCTCAGCCGCAGCAAGTGGCGCAGCATTTGATGACGCTGGCGGTGCAGCGATGGATGGCAGCAGCCTGGCGCTGCAAACTGCGCCGACAGTCCTCAGCAGCGGCGCCAGCGCTGGAGACCAGCACAGCAGGCCAGCATCGCAGCTGCTGCACGCCGTTGTGCCGCTTCTCGGCAGCAAGCAGGCGTGTGGTGCCAGCTGCGAGGTGCCAGCGCCGCGTCCACCGCCGCACCCTGCCACTACCGCCGACACGCAGGCGGGAGCTAAAGCCTTTGCCGCCGCCGCCACCCAGCCGCCGTCTCCACCTGAGCTGGATGGCATCCTGAGGCAGGCGGGCAGCAGCACGGCATGGCCGCCCCTGGCACCCCGTCGCCGCACTGCCACCACGGTTTGCTCCCTGTCGCTCAGCGACAGCAGCACCAGCATCACAGCGCCCATCCCCATCCCGCGGCCCGCCAGGCAGCAGCCCGAGGCTTTCCAGCGTGGCACCGCATCCGCCCCGCTCAGCAGACGCAGCAGCACGCTGACGAGCAGCGCCGGCTTCGGCAGCACCTGGCACAGTGGCAGCGGAGGCCCCCTGGCTGAGCTGGTGCAGCACGTGGAGCGGCAGGAGGCGGCCACCGGGCCTCAGCACCCGGCCTGCCTCGACCGCCCTTCCTCCCACCGCCTGGACTGCCCAGCCGCCCTGCCCCCTCACCTGCGCGAGTGGCTGGTGGATGCGGATGCCGTGTCCTATTTGCAGCACCCCAGCGGCGCGCTGCAGGAGCTGGGCAGCGGCTCCAGGTGGGGCGCCGCTGGGCCAGGGCGGGGGGTTGACAAGCTGCACGCGGCCTCGAAGGATGCACCCTGGTCCATGTGTACATGTGCCGCATCTCACCCTTGCCCCTCTCGCCTGCACCCTCCACTGCCTGCTCGCAGCGCCCGTGTGTTCAAGGCGCTATTCAACGGCGAGGTGGTGGCGGCCAAGGAGATTGACATCGGGGCGGGCGCCGAGATGCAGCAGGCGTTCCTCACGGTGCGGCGCCCGCTGGCGCTGGCTGTGCTGGGGCCTGGGGGCTGCCCCCTGCGGGTTGTGGTGCCTGCGGCAAGCAGCCACCTCTTAGGATGCTGACGCCTGCCGGCGGTCATGCCACATCTTGTGCAATGCAGGAGGCGGAGCGTCTGCAAGCCCTCAGGCATCCAAACATCGTTGGGCTGATGGGCCTGGCTCTGACCGAGTCCAAGGGCGTCGTGCTGCTGGAGTTGTGCGAAGGTGCGCAGCCTGCTCGTTGCTGGCAGGGCGGGAATGAAAAGCGAGGACAAAGGAACAGCAGCAGCTGGCGACCACGACGTGCACAGCAGCGCCGCTCCCTCCCTGAAAGTTTCCAGCTCGTCCACACGCTGCTCGCTTCCTCCCCTGCTTACAGGCCGCGACCTGCATTCTGCGCTGGACGTGAAGGCAGCCGGCAGCGATCAGCGCCTGTTCAGCTTTGGCAAGAAGGGGCGGCGGGTAGCCTTTGAGGTGGCCAAAGTGCTCAACTACCTGCATTCCCGGGTGAGCTCCCAGAGCCGAGGCTTGAGTGCAATGCCGCAGCTGAGAAACCTTGCTGCAAAAGCTGCAGAGCCACGCCCAGTTCCCGCTGCGCCTGGACAGATCTACGTGTAGCGCGCTCGTGCACCAGGCAGATCCGCGCCCGCTTCTTGCTCATGCCTCGTCCCCTCCTCTCCCTCCGCCCCAGGGCGTGATGCAAATGGACCTCAAGAGCGAGAACATCCTGCTCACAGCCTCGGGAACCGCCAAGCTCGCCGACGTCGGCTTCTCTCGGAACCGCGCCGTGGCGGCGGATGACACGCCGCTCAGGGGCACCTTCTCCTGGTGAGGGCATGCTGCCAGCTGCCGGTGGCACAGCTCCATGCCGCGTGGCCGCTGGTTGGCGTGCTCAACACAGGCTGCTGCACATCTGCCAGGCTGGCCCTCGTGCTGCTGCCTGCCCGGGCTCAACTTGCTGCGCTGTGCGCTCTGCAGGCTTGCCCCCGAGCTGCTGCTGGGCGGCGCCTGCACCCCTGCTGTGGATGTCTGGGCCTTTGGCGTGCTGTGCTGGCAGCTGGTCACGGGGGAGCACCCGCAGCGCGGCGCCATGCGGGCGCCACGAGTGCCGGAGGAGTGCCCTCAATCGGTGGCCGACCTGATCCTGGAGTGCATGAGGTGAGTGGGTGCGATATCTCAAACTCCCAGAACAACATCCGCCAAAACAACAGCTGCTGTGCTGGGTTGATGCCAGGCCGCCGGCGGTGCTCAGCTCACCTGCTCGCATCCCTGCTTGGCTGCAGCGATGACCCGTGCGACCGCCCCATCGCCAAGGATCTGCTGCAGCGGCTGGGCCGGCCGCTGCACAGCAGCGTGTCGCTGCAGGCGCTCAGCCGGCTGTCGCTGGACAAGCAGCGCAGTGTGTGAATGCTCACACAGATTGGCCTGCCAATCACTCAACCGAACAATCATATAAATCGAGCCGCCGCCACACCCTGGGGCCGCTGCTCTGTTCTGATCATTGAACACTGACTTCCACTCCCATTGCATGCCTGGTATGCATGCTTCTCTCCTTGCTTCCCGCCTTTCGCCCTCTGAACACACTGCGAAGGCTTGCTGCTGCACCTCTGCTCGAACCGGTTAGCCTGTTTCCACTACATGACCCTTCGTACCAGTCATCCCTTGACATTCTTTAGGAGAGTCTCTCATCTCGTCCATTTTGAAGCAAAGCCAGCAGGCTTTCCATCTGCCAAATGTTTCTCCCAAATCTCTTCACAAATTCTTTCACGCCGCTGAGCGCGCCACATGGCTGTAAATCTCCCTTGCAGACGGGCGAGCATGGGAGCTTTCAGGCGGCGCATGGATGGGGATAGGCCATGGCTGGACCTCCTGCTACACTGTGGCTGTGTCGATCGACGGCCCAGTGCTGCTTCCTGTGCGCCGCCACCGCCGGCCGCCGTCTCCCGCTGCCACCGCCGCCGCCCCTGGCGGCCACTCATGGGCTGCCAAAACTCGCATCCCAGGCATACACCCCACACCATACTACTGCGCAATCGGCCGTTAGACCCCCCCTCCCCAGCTGGTCTGCGACAGAATCTAACGAAACCTACACCTGGCAGCGCATTGTCAAGCTCTTGAGCCAGCGAGGGCCAGCCCTCGCCCCGATCCTCGCACCAGCTGATCCATCACAGCCACCTCCGCCACGGTTCAGCCATGCAGCAGATCAGCCTGACGACCGTGGCCCTGAGGCCCGTGGCTGCCTCTCAGCGGCGTGTGGCAGGGCCTTCGGCACGCCCCCTGGGCCTGCCACTGCGGCCGGCAAAGCCTGCAGGCACGTGCGGTTTTGAAAACCCATCGTTTGATCACGCCGGGTGTTGAACTGTCGGAGCTGGCCACTCCGACACGGCTGGTAGCGCCCCTGCCGGAGCATCCACTGGCGCCGATGCCTGTGCCGCGCTGCAGCCTCACCCGCCGCCTGCCGTCCCCGCCCTTGCGCAGCCCGCCGCGTGGCTGCTGCTGCCAGCAAGCCCGCCGACTTTGACGAGCTGCTTATGCTGGTTGCGGAGAAGTTCGAGAAGGCTGACAACAAGCCGGTGGTGGTCGGGTGAGTGCAGCGGGGGCAGGAGGCAGCTGATTTGAGTGCAGCGGCGGTTGACTGGGCGCGAGAGCAGCGTGTACGGACGAATGGTGGCAGGCTGTTGTTGCGGCCTGCTGCGTCTGTTGGTGTACACGTCAAGGCAGAAGCACCCATGCATGACGGAATCTGCCCTCCCCGCCCTCCCCTCTGACAGCTACCTTGCTGGGGCCGTCTTCGCCATTGTGGTTGCTGGTGAGGGGATGGGACCTCCAGGGTCTTGTGCATGCAGTGCTTTTATGATGCCTGAGCGCTGTGGCTGGCGCCCTCATGCATCACGCCGTCTTGAGGCATCCGTCAGGCACATCGCTGGCTGACTTGTGTTTGCTGCCTCACCCCCTCCCTGTCCCCGTCTCTACTCTCGCCTCATCTTCCGTGCGTCAGAGTGGTTCATTCACCTGCCCCTCTTCAACATGTGAGCATGGCAGAGGCTGGGGAGCACGCCCTGGTGCCGTGTTGGTGCAGAGGGGGCCGCCGCTCATGCCGCCCCCAACTCTGCGCGCGCCTCTGGCTGGCCGGCCCCTTAACTCTACCAGCCCTCTCCTGTGCCCCACCCCCGCCCCACCCCACCCCCATGCAGCCTGCTGGGCTGGCCCATCCAGTTCCTGGGCCTGGTCGTCACGCCCTACCTGGCGCTGCGCTACTTTGTCAAGAAGGAGGCAGACCCGCTGGCGGATGCAGAGGTGCGCAGGCTGGGGTGGGTTGCATTGTGGGCGGGCAAGCTGGGGCCCCGGCTGGACAGACCTTGGCGAGTGGCGAGTGCAGAACAGGCCGCTGGAGTGTTGTTGGGCTGCAGCCTGCGCTTTCCGGCAACCTGCCCCTCCCTCGCTCCCCTGCCCCACAGATGCTTGTGAGCAAGTACACCGCTGAGCTGCCCGGCCTCGGCAAGAAGTGAGCGGGGCAAGCGACCGAGTGAGAGCTCGCCTGTTGTCACTGGGCCCCCGGCGCCGACCGACCTCGTTTTCCCCAGTCGAGAAGATCAACACAATTTTGGCTGTGTGCTGATGCTTTTTGCTTGCGTTCCTGTCTGCCTGCCGCTCCCATTTGCCTGCTCCACGTTGAGTCAGAGTTGATTTTGGCTGATACCGCCGCTGTACTGACGATAATTTTTCGATACCTATTTGTACCGGCTGCTGTGTAGTAACGCCCGCTTGACACACAGGAGCACAGACGCTGCCACCACACCTGATCACACATGGGGATGGCCTCTCAGCACCGTACAAAGCGTGGTCCTGCCATGCGAGCGGCAAGCAACACAGCAGCTGGGCGCAGGCAACGACAAGTAGTGTTGTACAAGCAGGCCTGTGCCAGGGGCGCGTCAGTTTGCCGGCGTGCTGCTGCTGCCGCCCCCGCCCGCGCCTGCGCCCTCCCAGCTGAACTTCTTGTGCGTGAGCCAGGCGCTGGCTGAGCGCATCAGGCTGATGGGAACGAGCCTGAATGTCCAGTCTCGGCGCAGGCGGGTCAGCCACGTCTCGCCTGCGCTGCTCCTGAACAGGCTCATCGCCATGTCATACACTCGCGCCACGTGGCTGCCGCGGGCCGCCTCAAACCGGCGCAGGCTGTCCTCCAGCTCCGCTGCGCTGAGCTGCACCGGCGCCGAGCCGTCGGCAGCAGAGGCAGCCTTGGCCGCCGCGGCGCGGTGCAGCGCCTGCAGATTCATTGAGACAGGGGCGCGGAGGAGCGGGAGCGTGCCTCAGTGCGGCAACACGATGAGGACCCTCAGAGACGTGGATGCCCGGCTGCCCTGGCAGCGAGCAGCTGCCGTGGCCCACCAGCGGCACAGGCACCCTCGCTGCTCACCACAGCCAGCTCCACCGCGTCCTCTATCCCCTGCCCTGCACCCTGGCCCAGGGTGGGCAGCAGGCCGTGCGCCGCGTCGCCCACCAGTGTGACACAGCCCTGGCCCCACACCTCCTGCGTGCAGACGCACACGCCGCACACACTTGGGATGCTGGTGAGCATCCACCCCGGGGGCACAGCAAGCAGGCGACGCCCACGGTTTGGTCAGCTGCGCCACACGCGTCTCGCTGGTACCGCCCGCAGCGCCGCCATGCGCAGCACCTTGTTGGGCGGCATGCTCCACAGCTCGCCCACGTGGATGTCTGCGGGGCGCAGCGCGGCTGCCATCTCCGGCGCGGGGCTGCCATACTCGCTGCACAGCTCCACCACTGCCTGCTTGGCCTGCTCGGGGCTGATGCCGTGGCTGGTGCCCGGCAGGGCGGGGGTGTAGCGTGCAAAGCTGGCCTGGGTGGGGGAGACCTGGTACAGGCTGCGGGAGACAGCAGGAGAGGAAGCAGCGGCAAACGTGAGTGGCGGCGACTCCTGGCGCAGCACGGCCAGTGTTGCAAGCACACCACGGTGGCAGAACTGGTTGCTGGACGTCCAGTGCAGGCCACAGGCAGCAGCAGCAGCGCTGGCTGTGGCAGCTGCCACACCGGGCTCACATGCATGTCCCAGATTCTCCATAGAAGAATCGGTTGCATTGGCCGTTCAGGCCAGCCCGCCAGCCATCCACACCGCCTGCAGCACACACACAGCAGCAGCAGCAGGCCGCCACAGAAAGGCAGCTCAAGCTGTGTCACCCATGCAGCGCCATGATGCTGTGTCATGTGCATGCCCTCTGCCAGCACCATGGTCAACAGCGACAGCAATCGAACCTGGCAGCTGGGTGAGGTCTATCAAGCCCCTGTAGTAGCGATACCCGCTGTAGACGGGCTCCCTGCGGGGGCCCCCGCTCTGCTCTGCATCAGGAGGCAGAAGAGGGGAGATGTCAAGCCATCCCGCCACATTCAGGGACCGTTGGGCTCCCGATCGTGATGCTCTGCTGTGCTGGCATGCATGCTAGCGACAATAACTCAGAGGGCCCTGCCAAGCCAGCCTGCCACGCCGGCCTGCACAGCAAGCTCACCATCCAGGGAGGCGCGCACCGCGGAGCGGATGCCGTCTGCTCCCACCAGCAGGTCACAAGCCACCTCCTGCACCGCCGCCTCGCCACCTTGGCCCTCGCTCGCCAGCTGCACCGCCACTCGCCCATCCTCGCGCAGCCGGAAGGAGCGGAAGGCCGTGCCGCAGGTGACGGTGCCGGGCGGTAGAGCCGCATACAGCGCCTGCTGCAGCGCCGGCCGCGCGAGGTTGCAAATGTACTCTCCCACCGGAGGCGGCGTGCCTGCAGGTGCGCCGCGAGGCGGCTCCGCCGTGTCCTGCGGCACCTCTTTCAGCAGCTGGCCGGTGCGAGTCGTCACCACCGCGACGCTGTCCCACACGCCGCCCGCCGCCACGTCATCCGCCAGCGACTTCCCCTCGGCCGCGCCGCTCAGTATCCTGAGCGCCGACATCGCGTTGGGCTGAAGCGCCAGGCCCGCGGGGCCTGCAATCGGAAAGAAGAAGGGGGGTGCAGGTGGCCCGCAGCTCAATGGATGGAGCATGGCAAGGCATGCGCCAGCCGTGCTTCTCCGCCTTCTGTGCCGGCTACAGCGCGGACGTCCAAGGCTGACGTAGCGGCGGCCTGCAGCCGTGTCCCGCTGCCTCCCGCTGCCTCACAACACACCTGACAGCATCTCTGCCTTGTCCCGCCTCTCATACAGCGACACCTGGGCCCCGGCATCCAGGAGAGAGCGGGCGGCGGTCAGGCCGGCGACCCCGCCCCCAACCACCACAGCCCTCAGCCTCAGCGGTGGACCCTGGGGCTTGAGCGTCCCATTCGTGGCGTGAATTGACGACAGCGCGGCCATTTTCGTGTTTAGCAAGGCGGGAAGTTCAGGGTCACTATTGGACACGATGTGACACAAAGGACAGCGGCCTCACCATTGGCTGAAGTGTATGCTGATCAAGCTTTCTGCAGCAGAAATTCTGCTTCTCCTGTCCACCCTGGCGCTGAGGTGGCGGCGCCCCCTCGGCAGCACCCCGCACTTGCGGTCCTGGTTACACATCACCCTGGTGAATTGAATTCGATGAAGCAGCACTTGCGCAAGCCGAGGCCATTCTGAACTAGCACTGCGACTCCAGAAGGGAAGCGGCGCACCCAAAGGCGCAACACTCCGGATCTCGAAGCAATTCTGTGTTCGGATGTTTGATCAATGTTTGCATCGCAGCGTGACACTTCCCGGCGCCGGCGCCCTGCCACTCTCGTTTGATCGCGAAGTCTCGGTTAATCTCAGTTGTTGTGCTCGCTCCTTGTTGCAAAGCCTTTCCACTGCTATCCACGAGAGCCGGCATTACAACACACACACCCCGTTGCATCATGCGCCACCTTCTCCTGCAAGCCATTCTGGCGCTGGCGACGATAAGAATTTCCAGTGGCCGAGCACTGAGGCAGGTGAGCTTGGGGGAGGAGCGAATCCGCTTTCGTGGCCGCTGCACAGACCTCCATCACCGCTCACCGCCGCCGCGTGCTTGCTGAGCTCCTGCACCCCCAGAATGTTTACTGTGCAGGACATCATCGACCTGGCCCCTGACGCACATACCAATCTCACATCCCAGGGTGCATGCCCAAATGCTATGCTAGATACATGCACATTGGAACATCTTGTCTGGTGCGACTCGTTACTGCAATCCAACTGCGCTTGTAGGCAAGCGGCTGCTATTTTATGAGGATGGCGTCTGCGACCAGGATCGAGACAACGACCCCGACTGTGGCGGCGGGAACCCGTCCGGCGCATGCGCCGTCTATGCTGGCGTCTCCATGTCGGTAAGGGGAGCACGCCATTCAGGCACAGGTAGACACGGCCAGGGCCTCCCGGCCGCCCCCCCTACAGAAGTCGTCTTGTCGTCTTGACCCAGCATGCCCCTGCCTGCAGCGTGGATACCCCGGCTATTGCACGTATGACATGGGATGCATGGCAATCCAGCCCCTGATGATCGACCAAGTGTGTGCAGAGATGTTCTACACCCCCCCGCTGTGCTCAGAGAGCTGCTACAACATCTTCGCCGCGGTGAACGCTGCGCCACGCAATACAGTGCAATGGCATGGGCGGGGGGGGGGGGGCAAGGGAGGCAGGTCACCTGCACTGCAGAGCCATCAATGCATGGCGTGCGCTGTCCTGAGGCCCCTGCCCTATCCCGCCCACAGATTGGGACCAACTGTCGCTGGGAGCTGCTGGATTATGAGTACAGCACCAACCAGCTGCAGGCCGAATACGGGCAGCCCGTATACTGGGTGTGGTGGACTCTGCTCCACTACTGTGGGCTCACGAACGCTGACGGCACCCCAACCAATGGCAGCCAAACTACCGGCAGCACCGCCTCTGACGGGGGCGGCTTCGCCGGCCCGGAGTTGGACCTGGGCTATGAGGCCGCCAGCGATGGGGGCAGCAATGGCACAGAGTACGCCTGGGGCTTTGAGTTGAATGCCACGGCAGGCCTGGACCCCAAGTTTACGGTGGACGATGCTGCTACCATTGAGCAGGAGCTCGTCACCGAGGGCAGCAGCCCCTGATGCGATCATTGCCCAGCGCCTTGCTCCAATGCGGAAGCGCTGGCCCAGCAGCCCCGTGCTGCCGCCAGTCGCCAGTGCTCAGCTCCATTTCTGTCCCCTGCCACCAGGCTGTGCCCAACAGGCTATGGTTCCGTAAGCAGCGTAAGCAGCATGTAAGCAGCTGGGAAAAGGGAAAGAGATGAGAGGCCCCAGTCACGGTTGCTGCATCGCAGGCATGCGCAACATGATATCAAATAAGAAAACAGCTGTCAGGCGCTGTGGCGCCCGGTGATGTCCGCCACCAGTGCCTCAGGCAGCTTGCCGCCCTTCTGGAAGCCCCTCATGTGCAGGATGGGCACGCAGCCGGCCTGCAACAACCGCGCAAGACACACGGGCAGCACAGCAGAAGCGTGAGACCTCCGCCGGCCTGAGCGCACATGCAAGCGGGTGTCCCCAGTTGTGCTCAGCGAGCCTGCACCCCCCCGCTGTCCCCACCCAGTCTCCAGCCAAGCACCTGCGCCATGGTCTTGCCATCCACCAGCTCGGTGTAGGGCCGCGGCTTGAAGGCCTCCAGCAGCGCCTCGCCCGCCGGGCTGCCCACGCGCTGGCACACTGCACCAGTCCAACAGCCAAGACCAGAGTCAGCAGGCGGGTCCACCAGTCCAAGTTCATCGAATCACCCCCTGCCCTCCCTGCTCCAACACCGCCTAGCCCACAGGCAACCGCAGCTGGCACCAGGGCCGGGCCACCCACCCGTCATCAGCGCCTGCAGGGAGTTCATCTTCATGTAGGGGCAGGAGGCGCAGCCGCCCTGCAGCGAGCAGCCCTCGCCGCCCGCGGGGCCCGGCACCACAGACAGCCCCGTCGGCAGCTCCACCTGCAGCGCACAGGGGTGCTGGTCGCCGCAAGCACCAACTCTCAAGCGGCCTCCGCCGCCCACGCCCAGCTCCCACCCACCCATCCACACACACACCGCACCCCTGCTCGCACCTGCTGCTGCTGGCGGTCTGTGGTGATGGCCTCGGGGCTGACGGGGAACACCACCTCCACCTCCACGTCGTCCCGCCCCGCCGCGCGCAGCATGCCCTGCACCTTACGCACAATGCTGGTGATCATGCCGCTCTCCGTGCCCAGCACAAACTGCAGGCGGTTGGGGAAGGGCTGCTCCAGAGCGGCGCCCAGCCTGCACACGGGGGGGCACCAAGGCGCGGCAGCAGCTCGGTGCGGTTGCCGGGGGCAGGCCACAGGCGGGGCGGGGAGCCCGGCTCAGTGCGATGCCTCATCCCACCAGCTCCAAAGCCGCGGCGGGAGCCGCGGCAGGGCCGGAGCGCCGTGCCATCGCGACGCCGGCGCCAGCCGATGCCACCTCCCTCCCTCCCTCCCTCCCTCCTGGCTCGCTCACTTGGCGGCGATAAAGTCGAGGATGTTTTGGGTGGACCCCACCACGCCCATGCCGCGCTGCCGCTTGGCGTCCATGGCCAGGCTGAACATCTCGCCGGGCACCTCAAAGTGGGCGGTCAGATACGCGTCGCGGTAGCCCTCCCTGCGGCACGGGGGGAGCGGGGGTGCCGGGGTGGAGCGGGCAGCCGTCGCGAGCGAGCGAATGCCAAGGACAGCAGGCGGCGGGGGTCTCGGCGGCCACGTCGTGGCATGCCCGCCGTGGACGCCACAGGCCGGCAGGTGGCTGGGCGGCAGCGGCGCGGGCGGGCCCGCAGCCACACTCACTTGACCAGCTCGCACACCTCCCCACCAAAGAGGTGGTGCACGATGCACGTGCCCTGCTCAAAGTAGCGCAGGCGCGGCAGCAGCGCGTGGATCGAGGCCTGGGTGTGCGCCGGGTGCAGCTCCCGCACCTCCTCGTCGCTGTGGGGGCAGGCAGACAGGGGGCAGGCAGACGTGGGCAAGGGTGCAGAGCACTGCCAAGTGCAAGGGTGCAGAATGCCGCCGGCGGTTCCACCTGCATTTCGGCGCTTTGCTGACGGGCCACGCCCCTGCCCACCCCACCTGAGGTTGGCCAGGGACTGGAACAGCTGCGCCAGGTTGCGCCCCATGTAGGTGTCAGGCCCGTACCACACATGCACGTCGGGCACCTGCGGCGGCGGCAGCGACGGAAGCAGCGGCGTGAGCACCAGGAGGCCAGAGCAGGCCACGTGCCCTGGCTCCCTGCATGCACCCTCTGGTGCTCCGCCATGGCAGTCATGGTGGGGGCCCAGGCTGCCCACGCCACCCCCCGCCGTGGTGTGCACGCACGAGCGTGCTGGCGCCGCACCTGGGCAAAGGCGGTGAGCACGGTCTGCACGACGTTGGAGGAGGTGCAGGTGATGGTGGGCACCACGCTGTGGGCGAGCGCCTTGGTCTTCAGGCTGGTGTTGATGTACACCACCTGCGGTGTGGGGTGGCGGAACAGCAGATGTGGGGTGCTGAGAAGGGTACTGTTTGAAACAGCCTTGGGAGCGGCAGGGGGAGGGGATGAGTGGCAGTTGACATGCGGCGGCGCCACAGCTGCCGCACAAGCGGCAGCGAGGCTTGCGGCAGGCCCCCGCAGGCCTCACGTGCAGCGAGTTGGGCGTGTCCCCCGCCTCTGCCAGGTAGGCATCGTAGGCGGGGCTCTCTGCGGCCTCGGCCAGCGAGCAGCCGATGGAGTCGGCGGACATGCGGTACACCGCCACGTCAGCGTGTCCCGCCTCATCCAGGATGGCCCGCACATTCTCGCTCATGAAGTCCACGCCCAGCACCGCAATGGCGCTGCGCTCGTGGGGAGGGGGGCAGGTGGGAGGTAGGAGGTGGAAAGGGAGATGGGGGTGATACAGCGGAGGGAAATGAGGCCGCACGCAACAGCGTTGCCCATGACGCAAAGCAGCAGGCCAGGCCAGCGCCACTCACGTGCACCCCGCCTCAGCCATCTTCACCGCGCCGTCAGCCATCACCAAAGAGTCGCTGATGTTGATGTGGGGCCAGCGCTCGGCTGCAGCGGCGGGGGAGACGGGAACAGCGGAGCAGGGCGGTCGGCCGCCGGCAGCCGGCACCCACAGCGAGACGGCTGGGCGCAACAGCCCGGCAGCAGCAGCAGGCAGGCGTGCACCAGAAGCAACGACAGCAGGGGAGGGGAGGGGCGCGTGTGGGCCCGCGCATCGGCCCGCGTAATCGGCCCACGCATCGGCCCTCGGCCGCCAGGCTGGCGAGCTCACCCGCCGACGACAGCACGCCCTGCACCTCTGGGTCCATGTAGAAGTGGGCCACCACGCCGACCTTCTTGGCCGCCAGCTGCTCCACCAGGCGGTCCACCACCGCGCCGTCGGGCCGCAGGAAGGCGTTCTGCGCCTCGGCAAACGCGCCCTGCGCCGAGGTGCGCTCCGCGCCGATGAGCAGGGAGGGGAAGCGGGGCAGGTCGCCCAGCAGCATGCGGGCCCGCCTCTTCAGTGACTCAAGCATGTTGAGGAAGCCGTTGGCGCGGCTGCGCGTCAGCACAGCGGCGCCCAGCCCCAGCTGCCCCAGCACAGCAGAGTCGACCTGCGGGACAAGCGCCAAGTGCGGGCGGGGGCGAGGGGAGGAGGGTGAGGGAGGGAAGAGGGCAGGCGCGCGGCAGCAGGTGGCCCCACAGTGCCTGCTGTGCAGCGGGCCCGTGCCATTCCTGCGCGGGCGGGCGGCTGCAGTGGCTCCAGGCCCACCTGCAGCAGCTCTTCAAGCGTCAGCCCCGACAGGCCCTCCACCAGCAGGGCGGCCAGGCCGCGCGTCAGCTCGCTGTCGCTGTCGGCCATCAGGCGCAGGCGGCCCTCGCCATCCAGCTCAGCAGACACCCACACCTGCGGGCGGAGGCCACCTCAGCAGTGTTTGGAAGCGCAGCGCAGCGTGCTTGTGCCTGCGGGTGGGCTCCGCGCAGCCGAGCCAGGGCTGTGGAACGCTGCGCACGCCCACCTGTGCGGTGCAGCCCATCACGCGGTTGGCGTCTGTGCGGGCAGCATCGGGCAGCGGCGCCAGGCGGCGCGCGTAGCCCAGCAGCAGGCGCGAACGCTCCTGCGGGCCGGCTGCCGCCAGCAGCTCCGTGGCCAGACGCTCGAGCGTGGGGGTGGGGAAGGGCACGGCGGGCGGCGCCTGCACGGGAAGCAGCAACGAAGCAGGTGCCCGCTCAGGAGCCCGTTTCCGCCTGCTTTCGCGTCCAACCGACACATTCTGCAAGGAGTGGGCATTGCTGCTCCACCCACCTTTGTCGCTGCAGTAGCCTGGGCCGCTGCGCTGACGGTCCGCTGCGCCTGCTGCCGTTGCTGGCAGACAACTGCCGCCCGCCTGCTGGCGCGAGAAGGGTGGCGGCGGGCGCCGCTGCGCCCGGAGAGAACAGTCACAAGGGCGCGCTGCAGCGGCTGGCAGGCCGCAATTGACGCCATTCTGCTGCTTGCTAGATGCTCCCGGGGGGTCTAGGTGGTGGCTGCGGGGCGATGGAGGGGAGTGCTAACCCAAGCTGCCGGAGGAGCCGACGGGAGGATCAGAGGGGCCGGCCTGCAACGTGAATGCTGTATTTTTTGCACCACACCCACTTCTTCGGCGACACTCCCGTCATTGGCAGCGCATGCGGGCGGCAAGAGGGGATGGGCAGGCAGGATGAATTGTGTCGTGTCAGTGAGTTTGCAGATCAGGCCAAGACGGTCAGAATGGCTGCCATGGCATGCCAAAATGGCGGCGGCAGTTTCTACCCGCGAGTCTACTCCAAACTGGCGCATGAGGAGGCCAGGCTGCAAATGCGGCAGCCTGAATCAACTCTAGGAGCCACTGAGAGCGGCGTGGACTTCGACTGCAAGTGAGTGAGGATCAGGCTTGCAGCGCCACTCGCGTGGCGAGTGCCGCCCTGTGTTGCTCGTGGATGCTGTGTGGAGCCTAGAGGTGCAGGAGAGCGCCAGAAGCGAGCCGTTCAAACCTGCTTGTTGCCTCTCGCCTCCTGCCCTGCTGCGGCGCACAGAGGAGCCCGATGTGTGTGCGGAGGCTGGTGCCAGGCCCTGGGACCTGCTCAGTGCCGTGGGCGGCTGCCGCCCTTTGTAAGCCCTGCACCGCGATGGCTCCCTGCTCCCTGCCCCTGCTTACAGGCAGAGCCTCGCATCGGTGCCGGGGGGCGATAGCTGGACGTTTGTGACGCAGCCAAGGGCTGCCCGCAGCGCCTGGGTGACGGAGCCTGGCAGGCGGAGGACGTCGGCAGGCGCTCGGGCCTTGCGTGCGTCCGCACACAACAGGAGGGAGCAGGCTCCTGCCGAACCTGCTGGCTGATGACCCTGGAGGTCCAGCCAGCGGCTGGTGACGGAGGCACGGAGAAGCAGCAGCAGCAGCAGCAGCAGCCGATGCCGCACTCCGACGGAGCCGCGGCCGACGTGGTGCCGGCGTCTTGCGGGACGACCGATTCTGGGGAGCAGCCGCCGACCACGAGCAAGGTGGGTGGTGTTGCTGTAATACGTCTGTGGATACCTCGCTGCCTTGCGCCAGGCCGCCTGGCTCTCGATCTGTCGCCGCCACCCCTGCTGCCTGCTCTACATCTGTTGGTTCTCAGCTGCTCCAGCGTGCGCAACACCGCTTGCCAACCCAGGCCTGAAGCCTGGCGTCACCCCACAGACCCCCTTCCGTTGCATCCCCGCTTCGCCCTCCCTGCAGAGGCAGCGGCGCGGGACTAGGGAGATGTCGTCGCTGGGCGGCGCGCCTGCGGGCGGCGGGCGGCCGTCGCGGCGCGCTGCCAACGCCGCGCAGGTGGCCATCGCCCAGACCTACGCTTTCGAGCAGCAGAAGGGCATGGGCATGTCCCCCCCACGGGTGGCGGAGCAGTCGCTGGCCATGCGACTGATGGAGTCGGCGGTGCAGCACTCCACACCCCAGGCGGCAGCAGCAGGCGTGAAGGCGGAACCCCCGCCAGACCCTCGTGGCGACGCACCGGCTGCAGCGGCAGGCGCGGCGCAGCCAGCTGCGCCTGCGCAGGCGACCCCTGGGGCTGCGGCAGCAGCAGCAGGCCTGGCTGCGGCCGGAGCTCTGGCGCCGCCGTCGGGTGCAGCACCGGGCGGCCCCACTCCGCAGCCAGCCGCGCCAGCAGCAGAGAACGGCAAGCCGCCAGCCTCCGCCAAGAAGCGCAAGAAGCCCGAGGCAGGCGGCGAGGAGGCAGGCGGGCCTGCGGCGGCAGCGGGCACGCCTGGCGTGCCGCTGCAGCCGCAGGAGCCCTCCAAGCCTGTGGACCTTGCCCCCTTTGTGGACATGGCCCGGCAGTGCGAGACGCAGGAGGAGCTGAAGGAGAGGCTGACTGAGCGGTTCCCGCCCACCCGCGGCCGCTCCGCGCACAACCAGGCCTTCCGGGACCTGTTCCTCACCCTCTGCGCCGGCCAATTCTTCCACGTGAGCTGGCGGCCGCTGCTCCCGGCCCGCTGCGTGCCCGTGCCTGTGCACCTGTTTGCATGGCTTCCTTCCAACCTGGGCGCCTCCCCGCCCCTGCTGCCGCCCCGTCGTGCAGAACCGCCAGTCCGCGATGCCGCACCTGACCCACCACCTGTTTCTGATGGTGGGCAAGCCGGTGGGCAAGGCGCCCGCGCCGTACAAGCCGCGCGGCCCGCGATCGCCCTCGGCGGCAGCTGGCAGCACGCCGGTGGTGCCGGTGGCGCCCGAGGGCGCGCCGCCACAGGCGGCATCCGCTGCGCCGCCGTCGGGCGCGGCCGCGCCCTTGGCGTCCCCAGCACCAGCAGCAGCGGCCGGCCGCGCCGCGCCGCTGGGCCCCGCGGCAGGGCTGGCGGCGGAGCAGGCGGCGGCGGCGGCAGGCGCGCTGTCGGGCCCCGCAGGCCCCGCGGCCGCCGCCAGCGCGCGCGCGGCGGCCACGGCGGCGGGCGACGTGCTGGCTGCCACCGGCATCGACCCCTCTGCAGCCATGAAGTCAATCCTGGGCGAATACCCGACAGAGCTGGTGCGTCTGGCGGCGCTGGTGCGGCGCGCGCTGGGCATGACGAAAGGCTCAACTGCACACCTGCGCCTCATGCTGAAGACCGGGCTGCTGGCGGGGCAGGTGAGGGTCTGTTGCCGCCCGGACGCGGTGTTGGGGCCGTGCCAGGCTGTCCTCTGCGTTCCGGAGAGGCAGCAGGCCGCGCTGCTGCTGCCGCCGTGCTCCTCTGCTGCCTGCACTCGCGCACCTCATCGTCTGCCCACTGGCCATCCCACCGCCGCCGCCGCCGCCGCCTGCCGCCGCAGGAGGTGCGCTTCCAGACCAAGGCGGGGCGTGTGCAGAACCACGGCAAGCTGAACGACAACGGCGCCATCACCTGCTTCTGCAAGCAGTGCGGCGCGGGCGGCAAGGAGGTCAGCGCCTCTGAGTTTGAAGACCACAGCGGCAGCAAGGACAGGCGCCCGGCAGACGGCATCTACCTGGAAGGTGGGTGGGTGCTGAGGGGGGGCGGGCAGGCTGCGTGGCCTGCGGCAGGGCCTGGGGCGGGGCTGCTGGCTCTGGGCAACCGCTTGGTGGCCCGGGCCTTTGCTTGCTGCTCCGTCGCGTGCTGGCTTGTGCTGGCGCCGGCCCAGTACGCGCCCACCTGCTCCCGTGTGCCGTTGTGCTCTGTTGTATGCCCTGTGGCTCACATGCTCCACACGCCCCGCTGCCCCCCCCCCCCCCCCACCACCACCACCACCTGCAGCCTGCAACCGCAGCCTGAAGGACCTTCTGACGCTGATCAACAGCCCCGAGATGGCTGCCTGCACGGGGGAGGTGGATGTGCACATGGAGGTGTGCCAGACGTGCAAGGAGGGCGGCGAGCTGCTGTGCTGCGACGGCTGCACCGCAGCCTACCACTTCTCATGCGTCAACCTGGACGCCGCGCCGCCGGTGAGCGCAGGGCGCCGCCTCTGGTGGCGGCTGGATGTGCAGCGGCGCCTGGCGCAGCGTGCTGCTCGCCAAGAGCGGCTGGCTGGCTGCTGCATCGGCACGTGTTGCAGCCTGGCTGCTACGAGCTGCCAGTTAGCCAACTGCCTCCCGCTGCCTGGCGCCTCCCCGCCTCCCTCTGTGCAGGGCGACTGGTTCTGCCCGCTGTGCATGGCGGCAGGCATCACCAGCAAGCCTGAACCGCTGCCGCTGCAGCCCAAGCAGGTGGGCATGCTCAAGCCGCTCAAGTCGGGCGGCAAGGGGCGCCCCAGCAGCAGCAGCAAGCTGAGCAAGAAGGGCGGCGAGGGCGGCAGTCAGGTCTCGCTGCCGCCGCCGCCACGGCCCGCGGCGGGCACCGGGCGGGTTCACATGGCGGCGCCCACGGCGCCGCGTGCGCCACGGCTGGGCCGACCGGGCGCTCGCTCCAACAAGAACAAGCGGCTGTTTGAGGGGGAGGAGGGGGCTCTGGAGAACGGCCAGAAGCTCTTCTACCGCACAACCCAGGTGGGTCGAGGCTGGAGGGTCGTGGTGGGTGGTTAGCAAGGGGGTGGCCGGGTGTGGCGAGCTCCCTGCCGCAGCGGGCGGGCAGGCGGTCTGCCTGGCTGGCTGGGCCGTGAGGTGCTGCCCAGCACTCAGGTTCAAGCCAGAGCAGGGAGGCGCGTGCTGGCCGGCTGACCAGTTGGCTCCTGCCTGGCCTGGCTGCAGGGCGAGACGCTGCTGGAGGGCATCGCAGTGGTGGAACCCGGCGGGCCCTCGGGCATCCTCTGCGGCTGCTGCAACACGGTGCGCGCCTGCGTGCTGCCTCCCATGAGCCCGCTGTCCCAGCCGCCTGTACGGCTGCCCGCACCCAGCCGCCTCCCCCTCCCTCCTCTGCCCCCTGCCCCACTCCCTGCTGCCTGCCCTCACTCCCGCCCTCCGCCCGCTCCCCTGCCGCGCCGCCGCCCGCGCGCAGCTGATCAGCGCTTCGGGCTTTGAGGCGCACGCTGGGCGAGGCCAGCGGCGGGCGCCTTACGACAACATCTTCACAGAGGAGGGGATGACGCTCAAGGCGATGGCAGCACTGCTGCCAGACGTGGAGGAGGGGGCTGCGGGGGAGAGGCGCGGCGCGGGCGGGCAGTACGGGCTGGACGATCTGGCGGACGAGTGAGTGGCGGCGGCGGCGGCGGCGGTTGTGTGTGGTCTGGGTGGGCTGAGTGTGTGCGTGGGGTGGGCCCGGTCTCCTGCCGCCTGGACTGCCGAGCACCCTCCCAAACAACCACCCACGCACCTATGGCCGCACCCTGTCCTCACACACATATGGCTCCCCACGCCTACCACCACACCTACTCCTTCACTGGCGCACCACCCCATGGCACCCCACATTCCCCTCTCCCCCACCCCCACCCACCCACCCCTGCAGCGCCCGCGAGGTCATCTCCGAGCTGGACACGCTGGCGGGCGGGTGCGTGCTGTGCCACGAGGTGGACTTCCAGCGCGGCGGCTTTGGCCCCCGCACCATCATGCTGTGCGACCAGTGCGAGCGCGAGTTCCACGTGGGCTGCCTCAAGAAATGCGGCGTGGCAGACCTGGACGCGGTGCCCGAGGGTGAGAGCGAGGGTGGTGGCGACTGGCGGCGGTGGCGGCGACGTGTTCGCAGCCTGGCGCTGGGATGGCGGGTCACGCTTCTTGTTCGCAGCCTGCCAGCCTGCTGTGTTTCCCAGGGGTTTGCCATGCTGGGTTGGGCACCAAGCTGCCCTCCCTGGCACCTGTACCGCAGGCGACTGGTACTGCAGCGAGGAGTGCCAGCGCATCCGCGTCAACGTCAACACCGCGGTGCAGCAGCAGCAGATGGACATACCCGGCCTCCCCTCGCACACCTGGCAGGTGCGCCCTGGGCAGCGCGGCACGCTCATGAGCTGGCCTGGTCCCGCCTGCTGTGCCACAAGCCGCCATGCCCCTCTGCTGTGCTCCACCTCGTGCCCCACGCCTCCTGGGCTGGCATCGGTTCCCCCCACCCCACCTCAGCGCTCACCTCGTGTGCCTGCCCCTGCAGGTGATGCGCGGCAAGGACGGCAAGACCTCCACCGCCTGGTCGCTGCGCGCAGCCCAGGAGATCCTGCAGGTGTGGCCCGCCTGCCTGCCTGCCTGCCTGCCTGGCCAGCACGCCACTTGCCAGCCAGCGCCGCGTGCTCGATGCCTCGTAGCCTCGCTTGCGCCGCCCTGCTCGCTCGGCCCCCTCTTTCCCAACCCACACTCCACACACACCACCACCAACAACGCCGCATTCAAACACCAAAAAAAAATACTCACACCTCTCTGCCTAACTTGCCCCCTCAGGAGTCGTTTGACCCCATCATGGACCTGGGCTCCAACACAGACCTGCTGCCAGTCATGCTGTACGCCCGCCGCGCCGGGGAGTGGGACTACTCCAACTGCCTCACCCTGCTGCTGCGGCACAAGGTGGGCGGGGTGGGTGGCGGCGGTGGTGTGGCGGGTGGGTGCGTGTGGTGGTGCAACAGGGTAGGCGCTCTGGTGGTGAGGAGGTAGACGCGCAGAGGCAAAGCGGTTGCAGGCTGGGCAAAGATGATGGGGGCTGGCTGGCTGGCAGCTCGTGGCGCGGCGAGAAGGGCGTGCGTCCCGGCGGGCTGCCGGCCGCGCTGACTCGCCTGCTGCCGCCGCCTGCCTCCCCGCCTCCCCACGTGCCTGCAGGGCAAGCCCGTGGTGGCTGCCATCTGCCGCGTGTTTGGGCCGCAGATGGCGGAGCTGCCGCTGATAGCCACCAAGAACACGGCACGGCGACAGGGCCACGCCCGCATCCTGGTCGACTGCTTTGAGCGCCTGCTGAAGGAGGTGTGTGTAGTGTGTGTGTGTCTGTCGTTGTGATGGGGGGGAGTTGGGCAGCAGGGCATCCCTTGTGCATGCATCCAAAACAGGGGGCAGTCGGCGGCCTCGCCAGACCGCTCCCCAGCTGCGCGCCTAGCGCTCCTGAACCTGCCCCCTTGCTGCCGCCCTGGCGCAGTCTGGCGTACACACGCTGGTGCTGCCGGCGGCGCACGAGACGGTGCAGACCTGGAAGGATGGCTTCTCCTTTGCCGACATGCCCGAGGACGACGTCAGGTGGGTGGGCGTGCAGGCTTCTCGCCGCCCACCTGGTTGGCATTGTGCACGCTCTGCTGCCGCTCCAGACGTTGACATGCCAGGCCGACACCCCACCCGGAAGTGTTCCCCCATCACCCCTCCCGACAGCCCGACAGCCTAGCTGCTCACCCGCTGTGCCTTCCCGGCTGTGCCCTGCGCCCGCTGCAGGCTGGCCAAGAAGCAGCTGCGCATCCTCATCTTCCCGGGCACCGAGGTGCTGTGGAAGCAGTATGCCGAGGTGAAGCCGCCGCAGGGGCACCACGTCCTGGTGCCGCCGCCCGACCGGCCGTCGCCCGAGGAGGCGGCGGATGCGATGGAGGTGGCGGCCATCACAGCCAACATGTGAGTGCGCAGATGCATGCGTGGGCAGATGCATGCATGCGTCAATTTGCGAAACGGGAAAGGCCCAGCGGGCTGCCGGGTGGGAGAGAGGATGAGGGAGGGCTGGAGCAATGCCCATGCTCAGGCTCTGCCTTCCCGACCTAGCCGTGTGAGCCAAGCCAGGAGACTGCGTCTGCCTCGGTCCTCCGGTGCTGCTGCTGGGCGGCTGACTGAGAGGACTGCTGCTGCCTGTGTGCGCAGGGTGGCATGCGTGGCGGCGGCCTGCGGCGAGCCAGTGCTGCCTGAGGCGTTGGGCATGACGACAGAGGCCCCGGCGCCAGCGCAGCATGCTCAGCATGCCGTGGCACCAGCACAGGCGCAGCAGCCGCAGCAGCAGCCGCAGCAGGAGCCGCAGCAGGCGGCGCCGCCCGTGCCGCAGCAGCAGGCTCAGGCGCGGCCGCTGGCGATGCAGCAGCAGCCTGCAGCAGCAGAGCCTGGCCCACTGGACGACTACGATGCGATGATAGCTGCCGCCATCGCGGCTGGCTCCGAGGCGGCAGGGGGACAAGCGGCAGCAGCAGGGCTGGCCGAGGCCGCGGAGCCAGCTGCTGGAGAGCAGCCTGGGGCATGGCAGGGGGCGGGGCTGGCGCCCATGGATGTTGAACCCTCCACCGCAGCTGCAGCGGGAGCGCCAGCGCCTGCTGGCCTGGGGAGTGACACCGGCATGCCGCTGCTGGAGGACTTGGAAGAGCAGCAGCCGCAAGCAGAGGAGCCGCCGTCGCCGTTGGTGCAGCAAGAGCAGCAGCAGGCTGCCCAGCCGGAAGCAGCAGAGGGCGGGCAGCTTCCTGCGGAGCAGCCCAACGGTTACCTGCCTGCCGCAGCAGAGGCGGGCACCGCACTGGCCCAAGCGGGTGCCAGTGGTGGCGATGTGGAGATGGCAGAGCCTAGCGCAAAACAGCTGCAGCAGGCATGCTGATTGCGGAACAGCGCCCTCCCTTTGCCATTGGGCTAGATGTTTTTCTGCACCGATCTTGTTACCGCCTTCTTTCAGCACAACCTCGAAATGGACCACCGGGGGCACAGGCCCCTTGCAAGCCAATTCTTTTAAACCCAACTGCTTGTTGTATTGCACCTAATGAATCTCCACCTCCTCCACACCTGCAAGTTAGGCCAGGCAGTGACGGCGGACCAGCACTGCCGGCGGCCGCTCACAGGCAACCTGCTCCCACACGTGCGTGGGCTACTTGCCGTTATCGCCAAATCGGTGGCTGCCAAACGATTGAAACCCCTGTAGCAGTGCACTGGGCGCGAAGGAGGGCATCTCTCGCGAGACGCGAGAGGGTTTCAGGTTTGCCCATGTGGCAGAAAATGCCGGCGCTGTTCTATGCCCCCGTCTGCCGCCCCCGCAATTCCGGTCAGCTTGGGTTGGGGAAGCGCGCCCTCAGTCGTTTGGCTGCCCGGCCCGTGTGTGTGTCATGGAGCCCAGCCCTGCGTGGGGCGTGCGGCCCTGGTGGGAGCACGGCGTCCCGTGCAGGGACTATGCCAGGCCCTCCGCCGAGCAGGGTTGCAGCGAGCAGACCTATGTCAGCACCGAATGCACGACGGAGGTCGACCCTGCCACCGGGGACCCCGTCAAACGCTGCGTGAAGCTGTACAAGAGATACCTCAAGTGTGCTGGGAGGTAAGGAGCGCTAGCTGGGCCGCCGGGCGCCGCACTCGCCCACGACGAACCACCTTCAATTGGTGGCCTGGCCCCTGGCGCAGGCCCGAGAAGGTGGATGAGCAGAAGGAGGAGATGATGGCCCGGGGCGAGGGCGCGCAGCAGCTGGAGCCCAACCTGGTGGAGCTCCCTGGCAGGTGGGAGGTTGCGTCAGGCGGCGGCCGCTGCAAGTCAGGCGCTAGGGTCTATAGCTCGCGCTTGATGTTGCCCAGATTGGGCTTCTGTAAACCCACCCTCGGATTGCATGATTATTTCCTGGCCAGCGGCTGTGTGCTGGTGCCAGCGGTGGGTCTCTGGCCGCGCCGCTACCCGACTCGCGTCGCTGCCACGTGTCTCCCGCAGGCTGCCAGCAGCGGCGGGGCCCTCGGGGGTTGCAGCACCTGGCGTGGAGGGCGTGGGCCATGCCGTGCAGGAGTTTCTGCGTTTTGCAGAAGAGCTGCAGGAGCAGATGGTGCCAGGTGCGCCGCCACCGCCGCCGCCATGGTGTGTGTGCCCTGCATGCATCCTGGCGAGCTACGAAGAGCATGATGCGGGCCCGCGCCTACGCCTATGCATCACCTGGACAGCGCAGCAAGTTGCTGGCGCGTTGGAGGACACCTTGCATGCTGTGGTGACTGCTGCTGCTGACCCGCTCACTGTGCTTGCCTCGCCTGGCTGCAGGCACCATGCACCTTGACCAGGCGCCGCCGGCGCCTGCGCGGCCATACTGCGAGGCAGAGGTGCAGCAGCAGCAGCGGGGGCCGGGCGAGGAGGAGCAGCCGTTTGGGTGGCTGGGCGGCCTGCTGTTTGGCAAGCGACGAGCGGCGCAGGAGGGCAGCGGCGGGCGGCGGTGGCAAGCAGACGACAGCATGTGGAGGGAGTTCGAGCGGGATTTCACTGAAGTGTAAGATGGTGAAGTGGCGAGGCTGGGCATGCTGCTGCCATCACCAGCTGTATCGCCAGGCTCGCGCTGGCAGCAGCGTCGCCCGCTCTCACCCAGCCCCCGCCTGTGACCCCATCCTCTGCCCCTACCACCATGCGTTAGCGCACGCAACTGTTGGGCCCATCATGGCCCGCCCCAGTTTTGATGCATCAGACCGGAATGAACGATTCACTTCGCGCCCGCGCAATGGCGGACCCCCCTACTTCCGACGCTCACCCCCCCGCCTCCCGGCCATGGGCAGGCTGCTGAACAACCCTGTTCTGCATGTTCCCAAAGCCAGGCACTCCCGCCCCTTGCCTGTTGCCCTGTGACACGCCGCCGGCGAGCTGGCCGACCAGCCAGCCGCCACCAGGGCGTGCTGAGCAATACACCTTGCCTCAACGCTTGCCGCACCTGTTCTTCTTTCTTCATGTTCGTTTGCGCTGCGCCGCTTCAAGCCCTGTACGACCGTGTGTGCCCTACCTTGTCGGCAGGAACTGTTGTTGCCCCCTACCTTCCTCTTGTTCCCACTTTTGTTTGCTCGACCGCTGTAGGCCTTTTCCTTTGGCCAGCTTGCCCTGTTTCCACTTCTGTCAGGCGCTGCCGGCCTCCACCTGTGTTTGACAATTGCGACTGACTGCAACCCAACACAGAAGAGTTCCTTACTGGTGGTGCGCAAGGCGGATGGCACCAGCACGGGGGGGAGGGGGGGCGGGGGGCAGCCACTATGGCACACAGGGTATCCCGCTGGGCACAGTGGAGCGGTAGCGCTCGTATGGCGCCCCGAAGAAGCTGGCCAGCAGCTCGTCTTCATATGCTATCCTGCTGCTGAAGAAGCGCCAGGCGGCCGCCGCAAACGCCGCCTGGCCCGGGGGGTTGCAGAGCAGCAGTTGGGGGCCCACCGCCACCGCCTTCACCCCAAAGTACCCGGGGGGCCGCACCCAGCGGTGAACCCCCCGCGTACCCAGCGTGTGCTGCGGCCGCCCTGCCGTCGGACCAAGGTGCGTAAAGTTTGGGCTGGCCGTCCCTGGCCCCTTAAGGAAGTGGTCCGGCCCCCGTGAAGGGCCTTGCCTGAGCAAGGGGCCAGGACCCGAAGCGCTGTCCCCATGCACTTGCTGTGAGCCACCGAAGGCAGCGCATGAGGAAAGGTGCAGTGCAATCCCTTCCGCAGCTCCACCACATGCAGCCTGCTCGGCTCACCATGGCAGCCTTGCGCACACACTCGCCGGCCACCACCGCCGCCAGGCCCAGCCGGGACACCGCCGGCAGCTTGAGGAAGGGTGCCCAGCGCAGCTCTGCCGCGTGCTCCACACAGGCTGCCAGCATGGCCACGCAGTAGGGGCGGCTGAACAGCCACGCTGCAGGCGAGTGGAGGGGGCAGACGCTTTGACAGCAGCGAGCAAACACGCAGCTTACTTGGCAGCGGCAGGCGGTGGCGGCAGCGCAGCACAGGGATACGCCAGGGCCGGGCTGCTGGTGCTCACATCGCCATCCCAGATCACGCCTGTTGTAGAGGGCGGCCAGGCAGAACTCGGAGGTATGGAAGAACGCCAGCGCCATTAAGAAGAGGGCGAAGGGGGCCATCTCTGCGAGCTGCGGCGCCCAAACGACAATCGTTGGAAGCTAAGGCTTTGCCGTGTGTGCAAGGAAAATGAAAGCTGCGGTAGGCGAGCTGGCGGCAGGCCGCCGCCAGCTAGTGTCGGCCGCGCTAATTGCGAGCTGAGCACTGCGGGCAGGGCACCGAATACCCAGCCTCACCCATGCCGAGCAGCAAAAACAATGCATCTAGCCCACCTTCCTCCATTGGGGTTATGCTCCTTGCCGTCTCAGCATTCCGGTCATGCGGCGCGGGAGCCAGCGTGGCGGTGACAAAGCAACTTGGCCATATAGAGTGTCGGCTCCACATCGGAAGCTGTGTCTTGCAAGTATGATGAGTAACTAGCATGGTGTGCGCTCCGCACTGTCGCTGACACGGTGATTTCAGCGGGTGATCGCGAAATGGGACACCAGAGCGCAACCCTGAAGCAGCTGCAGGTCGTTCCGTGGGGCTATGCGACATGGCGTGCCGATGAATGCCTCGAGTCTGTGGAGTCCTGCCGCCAACCACCGCCGCCGCCGCCCCGCTCCTGCGACACGGTCTTGTCGTGAGAACCGAACCCAGCCATATGACCCCTGCAGGACGAGCTGCTGCAGCTGAAGCAGCAGGTGCCGGGGCTGCAGCTGAAAAAGAGCACGGTGACCCAGTCGCCCGCAGCGCCCTTCCCGCTCACCTGCCGCGCTGAGGTGGCTCGGCCGCCAGACGCCGAGCGGTACGACGTCTCCTCGTTCAACCTGCTGGCGCGCCTTAGCCACGACGTCCTGTCGGCGCCGCTGACGCCCGGGGCAGTGGAGGTGGAGGTGGCCGGCGACGAGCTGCCACGCGAGCTGCGGCAGGCGATGGCGGAGAGGCTGCACAGCGTGTGGGCGGCCTCGGGCCCAGGCGAGCACGTTTGGATGAACCCTTGCTTGCGCTGTGCTTGCATAGGGTGTTCAATGCAGGCAGCAACTTGCACGCTGCCGCCACCCCACCCCTGGTGCGCAGCGCCCGGGCAGCTCAACTTGGGCCAGCTGTGGGCAGCAGCGCAGCGCCAGTTTGCCTCCCTCATCACCCTCCTGCCCCACCTGCTGGAGCCCTACCAGAGCGAGGACGCCGCCGGATCCACCGTGCGCCGCTGGGCGGTGCTCAGCGACCAAGCCAGCATAACTATTGATGCCTCTGGCCACCCAGCATCCGCCCCAAAGGCGGCTCTGGCAGCAGCAGCAGGGGCAGTGCTAGCTCACAGCCGCGGCAAGAGCAGCGCCGGGCAGCAGCAGGAGCAACGCCAGCCGGCAGCCCCGGCAGGAGCAGCAGCCGGAGCGCAGGCGGGGAGCGCTGCGCTGCCGCGAGCGGTGGCTCAAGAGCTCGAGTTTCTGGCGAAGCGCCACGGGCTCAGGCAGGTGCCTGTGCAGCACGCAGCGGGGGCTGGCGCGTCTCCTGCCTCGGCAGCAGGCAATCAGCTAGCAGGCCTGTGCATCTCGCCAGCCCATGCAGAGGCGACCTCGGCACCGGCCTCGGCAGGAACTGGGGCGCCGGCAGCGGCCCAGGCAGAGGGCGTGGTGGCGGCATTCGAGCTTGAGCTTCGCCCCACCGACCCCGCCTGGCCGGCTGTGTACCCGCTGCTGCTGCACGGCCGGCTGTCAGCTGGCTTCCCGCAGGCCGGATGCCTGGTCCTGCAGGTCAGCCCGCAGCAGCAGCCCCCGCTGCCTCTGCTGCAGCGCCAGGTGCTGGATAAGCTGCTGGCGGCAGAGGTGGCGGCGGCGGCCGGCAGGCCGGGGGCCCTGAGGAACGTGGTGCGGCAGGTGGAGAACCACGCAGGGAGGCTGTGGCAGCAGGCGGAGGACATAGCTGCCGAGGTGGCGCGGCGGCGGCGCCAGCAGCCAGCCCAGCAGGCGCTGCAGCAGGAGGGGCCGCAGCAGGGGCAGCGGCAGGGTGCTGGCAGCACTGGAAGCAGTACCAGCGGCAGCGAGGCGGGCAGCACCTCTGAGTACGAGAATGATGGATATGGCAGCGAGAGCGCCAGCGGCGGCAGCGGCAGCTCGGAAGGGGAAGGCGCAGGCGCGCAGGAGGGCGCCGCTGGCGGCGGCGGTGGCGGCGGGCACAGCGATGCGGTCCTGCCCGTGCAGCTGCAGCTGGAGTCCCTCCAGCTGGATGGCTGCGATGCACTGGAGCTGCTGCGCCTCAACCTGCAGCTCACCTGCAGCCGGTGCAAGGCCAGCGGGGAGCTGAGCTGTGCCACGGCGGCGGTGGCGCTGCCCTCTGATGGCGGCGGCAGCGGGGGGGGCAGGGGCGGCGGCAAGGCCGGGGGCAGCGGCACCCTGGTGGCGGCGGCAGAGTGTGGCACGTGCCACGCGGGATGGGAGGTGGAGGTGGCGCCCAAGCTGCTGCACGAGCGCAGCAACGTGCTGGCACACGTGCGCTGCCGGGGCTGCACCCCCGCCGACCTGCTGCCCTCCATGCTGGCGGGGCAGTGCGGCTCCTGCGCCTCCAGCGCCGCCTTCCGCAGCGTGGCGGTGGGGCGCTGGAACGAGCGCGCCTGCAGCTCCTGCCACAGCCCCATGCGCTTCCAGGTGAGCGGCTGGCAGCCTGCCCATTGTCATGCTGGCTGGCTGGCAGTGCTCAGCATGCCCTGCAACTCTTTTGCGACGGAAGTTGCTTGCTTCTTTACCACACAGGGGTGCTTACTGCGCAGCTGCTTGCCTACACGCCCGCCTGCAGTTCTCCACGGCTCTCTTTGTGCCGCATAGGCAGGGCGGCAGGCAGCAGCAGGGTGGAGCAAGCGGCCAGCAGCCAGGCGCGGGGCAGGGCCTGGCGCGGCCTGGCTCTGCCGCGGCGGCGGCTGCCACCTACAATGGGCTGCTGCAGCGCGGCCAGCCGCTTCCCGACAGAGGGACTTGCAAGCACTACAGGCAAGCAGTCACGCATGTGCCTGGAGATGCCATGGCCTCGTCGACCCACGCACTTCAAAGCTGCGCCATGCATGCGAGACGCCAGAAGCGCTCTGCACCCCTGCCACACTCCTTGCCCCGTCCCCTGCCCCGTTCAGGCACAGCTACCGCTGGTTGCGATTCCCCTGCTGCGGCCGCCGCTTCCCGTGTGACCTGTGCCACGAGGAGAATACAGATGGGCACGAGATGAAGTGGGCCACAAGCATGGTGTGCGGCTACTGCTGCCTGGAGCAGCCGGTGGCGCCGCAGTGCAAGGGGTGCAGCAAGAAGCTGGCCACCAGCGCATGTGAGTGGGATAAGGCGGGTGGGACGAGAGGGGGGACAGAGCGGCTTGTGAAGTTGCCATGCAGGATGCCAGCAAGTTGGAGTTACCAGCTGATTGGCAGCCCCAACGCTGTGCCAGTGCAACGGCCAGCGAGGGCTGAGGGTGCGGCCTGATGTGCCCCTCCACCTCTTGCAGCGGCGCCCTCTGGCCGCCACACTCGCTTCTGGGAGGGCGGCAAGGGTGAGCCACCGTACAAGCCAGACTCCCTTGTTGCGATTGCCCGTGCGAGCAGGCTGTCGCCCCTCGATGCCATGGCACCCGCGTGGGCCAGAGAGGCCCAGAGAGGCCCACAGATGCCCAGAGATGCGATCCCACTCATCCTGCTCACGCCGGCCCGCCTGCCGCCATTGCCCCCGCAGGTCAGCGCGACCCCAGCAAGCTGCACAAGGATGACCCGCGGCGGTACCGCAGCAAGTTCAAGACGCGCAGCGCGAAGAGCAAGCGGGTGGGCCAGGAGGCCAAGGCGCGTCGGGAGCGGGAGCAGCAGGCTTAGCGGCCCGCATCAGATGATCAGAGACGCATGCGGCAAGGCACGCCGTGTCCAGCCTGTATAGACGCCTGCTTCATGTTTCTGACTGTATCGGTTGTCCAAGCCAGCCGTATGAAGAGAGAGGTGTGAAGCGGCACGGCGCCGGGGGCCGCAGGTGCAGCGGGCGGCGATGGTGCCCACGTCCAGGACGGCCGTCTTGGATCCCTCGATGGCTTGATACTTGCCCCTGCCACTGTCAGACTTTACAGAACCGCAGCTGACCCCGCAAGACGGGCGAATAACCCAGCCGCACTTGTGCGGCCAAGGGGTACCCCCCAGGCAGCTCGCTTGCCGGCTACAGAAATGCCAAATAGCCAATTGCGTCCAGCAGGACAGAGAAGGAAGCCATCGAGAGCTTCCGCATCGAACCCTGGGGCCCTCCTTCCCCTGCCCCGCTGGCACTGTTGCTGCGCTGCCTCTGCAGCTCTGGGCTCCTTGCTTCCGCCGTTGTAGGACTTGCTAGCTGTAGGAGGCGCTCGGTAGGAGTCCCAGAGGTGAGTGGGGAAAGAGGGATGCCATGTCCCCGCCATGCGAGGCCAGCAACGCTGCAAAGCGCCTTCAAAATCCACCTCGGGGTAGAGGGGCATATGGGTTTCCGCGGCAGCGGAGAACAGCCGGTGCGCAGCAGTGGAGAGATGTCCGCCACGAGAGGGGGATTTCTGGGCGGGCTGCCCTGCATGCGAGGCGGGACGGGACGGCGACGGCATTCGCAAAAGTGGCAGGCGCGCGCGACGAGTGCGCAGCCTGCAGCGGCCCAAAGGAGCGGTGGCGCACCGCCCCGACGGCGCCACTCCCTATTCCCAACCCAACCCACTCATGGGCCGCCAGCCGCCCTGCTGCCCCTGTCCTGGCGCGGGCCGCCCTTTCTGACCTTATGGCCACTGCTCCTGGCTGCAGGCTGACTCAGGAGGCAGAGTAGGCGTCAGGGCAGGACCTGCTCACGCCTCGCGTGCCACGCTAGGCGGGGGGCGCCGGGCGACCGCCTGCGTATGCGCACAGTAGCCCGCCCGGATGGCCAAACAAGAGGGGAAAGTGTTCATAGGCGGCCTCAGCTGGGAGACCACAGGTGCGGGGCGGCCCCAGGCTGCTGGGCGGGGTGCAGCAGGCGCGAGGCACCACCGGGGCGCCTCCGCCGCGCCGGCGGCACCCGGCAGGCCGCGGCCAAGGCTCCAGCCTCCCACACGGGACATGCCTGCCGCTCTGGCGCGCACTGCACTGTTGGGGGGTGGTGCTGCCGCCGCAAGTATGGCAAGGGACGCTGCCGTCTGGCAGCCCAGCGCCATGCCCAGCATGCCTGCCCACCTAGTCGGCGCGGGTTCAAGAGCCTCGCCCGGCGCCCCATCTGGCCTGTCCTGCGCCCTGCCCCTCCACGCGGACCATCCCAGCCCCTCCCGCCCGCCCCGCGCCTCGCCCTGCGCACCCTGCGCCCGCGCCTGCAGACCAGAAGCTGCGGGCATACTTTGAGAACTATGGGACGGTGCAGGAGGCGTTTGTGTCATACGATAAGCACACGGGGCGCCCCCGCGGCTTTGGCTTTGTCGTCTTTGCCGACCCGATCATCGCAGACAAGGTGCGCGCGCGCTGGGCACGGCGGCAGCCGCGGCAGGGCCGGCTGGCGGAGGTGTTGTCGGGGGCACTGAAAGCTGGGCGGCCCGGCACTGAAACCTGGGCGCGGGTGGCCTGGCCTGGGCGTGGAGGATGCTGCTGACCTGCTGCTCCTGCACTGCGCGTCAGCTCCTGCGCCCCGCTTCCCACACCCCCGCCGCGCTCTGCCTGCCCCGACTGCCCGCGCAGGTGATCAGCGTGCAGCACACGATTGACCGGCGTGAGGTGGAGGCCAAGAAGGCGCTGCCCAAGGACGAGAGCCCCGTGCGTAAGGAGGAGCAGGCGGCGAGCGGCGGGCACCGCACCAAGAAGGTGTTTGTGGGCGGGCTGGCGGCCACCGTGGATGAGGACACCTTCCGAGCATACTTTGAGGAGTTTGGGCTGGTGGACGACGCGGTGGTCATGTTCGACCACGAAAACAAGCGGCCCCGCGGCTTTGGCTTCATCACGTTTGCGGGTGAGGGCTGGGGGCCGGTGCAGTCTGTGGCACGGGCCAGAAGCGGGGCTGAGGGCTGGGGACGTGTGTAGTATATGGCACGGGCCAGGAGCGGGGCTGGGGCCAGGAGGAAGATGGTGCGGTGGTGACAGTGGTGTGGGGATTGTTCTACATGTATGCATGTGGCGGGGGTGGCAGGGCAATAGCCGCAGGGGTGCGGGAGCAGCGCAGCGTGCCCGCGAGGGGGCAGGGAGCAGCACGTTGCCGACTGCCTGCCGCCTGCGTGCCCTCCCCGTCCCCGGCCTGTTGCAGACGAGGAGTCTGTGGATGCTGTGTTTGCGCGGGGCACGATCCAGACCATCCACGACAAGCAGATTGAGATCAAGCGGGCGGTGCCGCGCGACAGCATGCCCCCCAGCCCCCGCGCCCTGCAGCACCGCTCCCCCATGGCGCACCACCCCGGCGTGCCGCCCGCCTACGACCACATGCCGCCCGAGATGTACCACCACCGCCGAGGCCCGCCGCCACACTACGGCGGGCGCGGAGGGTATGGGGGCGCCGGGCCGGGCGGCTACGCGGGCGGCGGGTACCGAGGAGGGTACGCCGCGCCGGCCATGCATGCCGGCATGCAGCCGCACCACGGCGGCTACGGCGGCGGCGGCGGCCTCTCGCGCGGCGGCGGCGGCATGCGCAGCCCGCCCCACCACGCCCAGCACCACATGGGGGGCGGCGGCCTCCCGCCGCAGCCCTTCACGCCGCCAGCAGTAGTCACGGGTGCGCCACCCGGCTGGGCTGGGGCTGGGGGCTGCAGGGGTGGCCTGCCCGGCGCACATGCCCTTGGCTGCTGGCAAGTCCTGCTGCCTGCACCTGCTGGAGCTGCACACCGCTCCAGGCCGCTCAATCACCTCGCCGCGCTGCCCGCCTGCCTCCCCGCCCGCCTGTGCAGGCATCCCCGCCAACATGGCTGCCACTCCCGAGGGCGCTGCGGCCATTGCCGGCGGCCAGGCAGTGGCTGCCGCGCTGCCGGTGATGGGCAACGCGCCAACCATGGCAGCCCAGAGAAACCAGCTGGCCGCCATGTCTGCCGCGGCCGCCGCCACGCCGCTGCAGCCCAGCCAGCTGGTGGCCAGCTTCGGTGCGCTGCCCAGCAACGTGCAGGCGGCGGCCGCAGCCGCGGCTGCCACCCACCTGGGCTCGCCGCCAGCCGCCTACGGCATGCCTGACGCCACGAGCGCGGCGGCCGCGGCGCAGCAGCAGGCCGTGGCCGCGCAGGCCCAGGCGCAGGTGCAGGCAGCTGCCCAGAACCTGGCCGAGCTGCAGCAGCAGGTCAACCTCAGCAACTCGCTGGCCCAGGCGCAGCTGCAGCAGGCGCAGGCGGCGCAGCAGCAGCAGCAGGCGCAGGCGGCCATCTGGAGCTAAGGCGTCGGCCGCAACAGGGCGCTGGTCCGGCCGCTGAGTCCCTTCGCCCAGCCCGCCAACCCGCCTCCCATGTGGCGCCTGGCTGGCACAGGGCCGCTCGATGCGGCAGCGGCAGCTCCACCCCTCATCTCAGCACTGCTCTCTCCCGAGTCGCGGCGGGGGCTGACACCCCCACCAGTTTTCCATTTGGTTGCTAGTAGCAGGGACCTGACCTTCCGCGGGCGACTAGCGCCATTCGTTCCTGGCTCCTGCCTGGGCCTTGCATCTGTTGCCAGCTCCTTAGTTGCATGTAGGCCGCGCGGCCCCACCTTGCTCCTGCTCCTAACTTGGGCCCGGCCTTTAGTTCGGTCTCCTCCACATCCACTTTTTCGGGCGGCGGCAGCGGCTGGATGGGCAGCTGCCCCCCATTCGAGGGCACACCCAGCCCTGCCCCGTTGATGTTGCCACAGATGCACGCTGCCACCCCACAGTGGCATGCATGCCCCACCCGCATCCCGTCCTTCCCCTTTGCATATCACACTCACTTGCTCGCCGCACTCCCCACCACCTTGACTGACCCGCACCACTCTCCATTTGTTGCTGCTCGCCATATAGTAGGGTTTAGGAGGCATCAGGCATTTCTCTGGTTTTCATAGGGAGTTTCATGAAGTTGCCTTGAATCACTTTCAGGTTGGGCTCGGTTGTTTGTTTGTTTTCTTCTTGAACGCGCATGGACTTCGCTGCGCAACCACCCACCCCGCCTTTCCCCCCGTTGATCGAGTTCGCCCCAGGAGTCAGGTCTCTTCTTGCACAGGATCCCAGTAGCTCAAGCTTTGGCAGGAACTCAAGTTTGCTTCGATAGGATCTCACTTCTCGACAGCCGCAGATCATGACCATCATCCCGCACTCGACGCATGTCTGCCCTTCATCCCTCGACGCACGCCCGCCCATTTTCTCTCCCCCATCTCCCTCCTTCCCTGTGTTTTGTTTGACCACGCTACCCCCTGCATCAGCATGCTTGTGCCTGTCCCACGCCGCCGGCGGGGTTAAGCCGCTGTCAACCGCCCGTTTGTGGGGGGCTCACGCATTGGCCTGCACCCCAATGGCGCCCTGTATACAAGCCACACCATGCATCATCGTGTGCCGCCAGGTCGAGACTGGTGGATGGAGGGGTACGTTGCCGCGCGGAGGGCCACGGCGTCGGCAGCACTGCCAGCTCAGCGGCGGGAGGCAAACAGGGACCCTGTCCCCATCAGTGCACCCCTTCCAAGGGGTCTTCTAAACACCTCATACTGTTCCGGCTCACCTGATCGTGCTCATGCTCCAAGCCACCGGTGGGGTTGGCCTGCAGCTGGCCCCGGCGTGCCTGCCGGCGGCGCTGGCCTGCGGCCGCTCCCTTTGGTCTACGCTCTCCAGGCTGGGAGAGGAGGGCAGGAGTTCTGTACCCGGGTGCGCTGACCTGCCGCCGCTTCCGCCAGCCAAACCCAACAAGGCCGGGCTTCTGCTCGGCGACAGAGCCTCACAGCGGGTTCATGGTGGCCAAAGGGGTTGGGTCGGGGCAGCAGTTGATGCGACGGCCTTGCATGCAGGCACTTTAAAGTGGCGGCATTGCCGCCCTTGTCGCCGCACATGCATTGCTCCGCACGCTGCACAGCAGGCACACGCATGCACAATCACAGCATAGGCAGGCAGAAGTCTGTGTTCTTGTCGTGGCTGGAGTGCCTTTGGCTTAGCTCTCCTGCCAAACCGCTCCCCTGCTGTTGCAGCCGGCCATCATATAGCACAGGCGCTGCCGAGGCAAGGACCCATGGCAACCTGCAAGACTCCGATAGAATCTTCACCAATCTGTATGGACGGTGAGCAGGGGAAGGGCAGGGAAAGGGAGGCTTTGGCGAGGCGCATGCACAGGGCCCAGGCTGGACCATATCCGCTCGCCGGCGCTTGGGCGGCGCCTCAGCCCTCGCTTCCCGCTGCCCCCGTGGCCACCTCACCCGCAGGCACGACCCCTTTCTGGAGGGTGCTCAGAAGCGGGGAGACTGGTACCGCACTGCCGACTTGATTGGCAAAGGCCCCGAGTGGATCATCTCGGAGGTCAAGGCCAGCGGCATCCGCGGCCGCGGCGGCGCCGGCTTCTCCACAGGCCTCAAGTGGTCCTTCATGCCCAAGGTGGGTGATTGGTGGAGCGGTTGTGGGTGCTGCATGTGTTGGTGGTGGTGGTGTGTGTGCGGGGGGTGCTGGTGATGGGCATGCATGCAATCCGGTCAAGGTTATAGGTTGTTGGAAGGACAAACCGGTCCCGGGTGCCCGGTCTCGCGTGGTGTGCTTCATGCTGCTCCTCTCTGCCCTGCCCCGCCCCGCCCCGGACCAGAACTTTGACCGGCCGCACTACCTGGTGGTGAATGGCGACGAGGGGGAGCCGGGGACGAGCAAGGACCGTGAGATCATGCGCCACGACCCGCACAAGCTGCTGGAGGGCATCCTGCTGGCGGGGGTGGCCACGCGGGCGCAGGCCGCCTACATCTACATCAGGTGGGCGGCTGGGTGGGGTGGCGGCAGGCGGGGGGTGGCTGGTGGCGGGGAGGACGGTGGGGAGAGGGTGTCGAGTGCGTGGTGCCTGTACCGTGGTGCAGGGGCGAGTACCGCAACTACCGGCACAGCCTGGAGCGGGCCATTGGGGAGGCCTACCAGGCGGGCTACCTGGGCAAGAATGCGTGCGGCAGCGGCATGGACTTTCACGTCTACACCCAGCAGGGGGCGGGCGCGTATGTGTGCGGTGAGCGACGCGAGCCAGCCAGCCAGCCGTGCCGTGGGCCATGATTCATTCATGTATTCATTCTGTGAGCCAGGGGCAGCAGGGCAGGAGAGATGGGGTGGCGGGTGGGTCAATGCTGGAACTGCAAGCTGTGCACCGCTGCAATGTGCTGTCCTCCCGGCCCGCTTGCCTGGCCACAGGCGAGGAGACGGCGCTGCTGGAGAGCCTGGAGGGCAAGCAGGGGCGGCCGCGCCTGAAGCCGCCCTACCCAGCCAATGCCGGCCTGTACGGCTGCCCCACCACCATCAACAACGTGGAAACCATCGCCTCCATCCCCGCCATCCTGCGCCGCGGCTCCTCCTGGTATTCCAGCCTGGGCCGCCGCAACAACACGGGCACCAAGCTGTTCAGCATCAGGCACGCCACAGCCTCCCAATGCCCGCGGGGCTGCGTGCCTGGCTGGCACAAGCCCCGCCTGCCCGACTTGTCGCAGCTGTGTGGCCTGCCTGCTCCTGCCTGCTCCTGCCTGCCTCATCTGCTCTCTCTGCCCGCCTGCAGCGGCCACGTCAACCGCCCGTGCACGGTGGAGGAGGAGATGAGCATACCTCTCAGGCAAGGCAGTGAGGGGACCGGCGCAGCTGGGGTTTGGGGGGCAGTTGCTTTAGATTGCAGCAGTTGCTTTAGATTTGCAGCAGTTGCCTCCTGCCTCATGGAGTGTGCTGTGGCACGGCATTTCATCACGCGACCTGTTCTCTTGAACTCTGGCCGCAGGGAGCTGATTGAGAAGCACGCGGGCGGCGTGCGCGGCGGGTGGGACAACCTGCTGGCGGTCATCCCGGGCGGCTCCTCGGTGCCCCTCGTCCCGCAGAGCGGTGCGCTGATCCAGGCATCCACCTTTTGCTTGCCTACATGCATCTCATCTCATGCCCCTGCTCTCACGCATGCCTTCGCCCTGCTCCCCTCAAGTGTTCTGCCTCCTGCCTGCCGCTTTGTTTGCCTGCAGTGGCCTCTGAGGTGCTGATGGACTACGACAGCCTGCAGGAGGCGGGCACCTACTTTGGCACGGGCGCGGTCATTGTGATGGACAAGTCGACGGACATAGTGGAGGCCATCCGCAGGTGGGGCGGGCGTGGCTGGGCTGGACTCGGGCTGCCTGTGCTGTGTGTGGGTCTGGGGTGGGGCTGTCGGCATGGGTGCAGAGTGCACCGAGGTAACAGCAGTGCCGGCGGATGCGTGCTTGCTCGCAGTGGCCCCGTTCTGCCTGCCCCATGCCTTCCTGGCTCCCCCACGCCTGCCTGCCTGCCTGCCTGCCGTGCAGGCTGAGCTGGTTCTACAAGCACGAGAGCTGCGGCCAGTGCACGCCCTGCCGCGAGGGCTCCGGCTGGCTGTGGGACATCCTCACTCGCATCCAGGTGCGGCGGTAGGGGAGGCTCCGGCTTCCCACCATTCTCTCAACATTGCAATTGGGCCGGCGCGGGAAGAAAGAGCGAATCCGCTATTGCATCCATGTGGCCGGTCTCCACGGCCGTTGCCACCGCCCACCTGGTTGCCTGGCTGCTGTCCTCCCTGCAGACTGGCGAGGCAGACGTGAAGGAAATTGACATGGCCATCAGCATCAGCAAGGTGGGGAGCTGCTAGCAGCAGGCGCTGGAGTGGCGAAGGTTCGGGAGTGCAGCGGTTGGGTGGCCATCCGCTGAGTGGCATGCCGTATTCGTTGATGTTTGCCGCTGCTGCTGCCGCAGATCATTGAGGGGCACACCATCTGCGCGCTGGGAGATGCGGCAGCCTGGCCGGTGCAGGGCCTCATCCGCCACTTCAGGTGCGGCACCGTGGCCGAGTGGCAGCACTAGCAAACAGCAGCGGCACAAGCAGCATGCCGCTCGCCATGCCCGACCGCCTGCCCCCTGACCAACACCCCTCCCACACACAATGGACCCTCCTGCAGGCCGCTGGTGGAGGAGCGCATTCGGGAGCGCCAGGCGGCGCGTGCCAACAACCAGCTGCCCCCCTTAGATGACCTGCACCGCAAGCCGCACCACAGGGAGGGGCTGACCATCCCAGCCGGCTCATTGCAGCATGCCATTTAAATCCCAAATCTAGCGCGAATTGTTTTGTTTTCCACAAGTATTGTTTCCAGCCTAGATAGTGGCGCTTGACCAGTAGCATCAGGCCCGCTGGCTTTTTTTCCCGCATGCTCCTTTTCTCCCTGCCTGTACTTTCCCCTGCACCCTGATTTTTCCAATAACTCACTTTGCCTTTGTTGCATGTAACCATCACGTTCACGGGAGGGTCCTGGCATTGCGCTTGCCAGAGGCGGCGCATCATCACACGCTGCCTGTGGACTGGCGAGGCAGTTTTGAGCAGGCCTGGTACCTGTAGCAGTCGTCGGTGGCATGGAGAGGTGTGGGGTTGAGGCAGAAAGCCCCAGGGCAAACCTCCAAACCTTATTCTGAGGCTGGAAGACTGCGTGCGAGACCTATCGTGCAGTGCCCATGTTTGTGCTGCATCCAAGGACGAGAGGTACTGCGATTGCCGGGTACTGTTCCCGCCTTCACCATGTGCAATTTACAGCTCCTCTCTGCAGGTCAGCCCCACTGGATGGAGCTGCACTTCACTCCCATGGCCATGTCGTCAAATACCAGCTTCCCCGCCTCCCCCTTGCCGGCGCCAAACACCACATGAAGCGGCAGCAGGTGCTCCTCCCGAGGATGGGCGTAAGGCCCCTCGGGCGCCTTGCGCCATTCCGACAGCACCTCGGCACGCTTCTCTGCAGCCAGGGCAGGAGTCAGGCAGGGATGCTGGAGGCTCGGGGGCTTGGGCGGAGGCTAGGCTGAACAGCAGTGCTTCCCAGCTCCCCACCGAAGAGCGCCGACCACCACCCAACCAACCCACTCACCGTAGCTGAGCGAGGGATCCGTGCACACATGCTGCAGCCATTCGTCAAACTGCTTGCTGCGGGCCAGCGCGCTGCTGTCGCCGCCCATGGCTGCAAAGAGGGCGGGGAGGTTGTGGAAGGAGGAGCCGGAGCCGATGATGGCCACACCCTCCTCCTGCAGCGGCCCCAGCGCCTCTCCCATGCGGATGTGCTCCTGCGGGGCAGGCAATTGGAGACAGGGCGAGTTGAGCTGGGCAGCAGTTGCGGCAGCAGAGATAGAGATATGCACAGCGCCGGCGGTACCGCACCGCTGGATCCAGGGAAGCGAGCAGCGAGAGCTGGACCACGGGAATTTGCGCCTCCCCAAACATCAGCATCAGCGGGATGAATGTGCCGTGATCCCAGCCACGCTTGGCATCCTTTCGACACTGCATGCCAGCTGCCTGCAGGCCAAGTCGAGGGCGCAAGCAGGATCAGGTGCCTTCCATATGACCTTAGCGCTGCCTACCGCAAAACCACACCTCGATTCAGACAAAGCCAACATCAGGGACATACCTGCAGCAGGCTGCACACTCTGTCGGCGAGCTTGGGGCTACCCGGGGCGGGGTACTTGAGCTCATAGCTCTCAGGTGAAAAACCGTAGTAATCATACACCAGAGCAGGATTTGAAGCGCTGGTGACACTTGGGGTGCTCTCCTCCCAGTGCCCAGACACCACTAGCAGAGCGGTGGGCGGCGCGGGCAGCGTCGCGGCATAGCTCTTGAGGAACGCTGTCAACTTCTGGTGGCCGGGGCCGCCGATGACTGGGAAGGGCCCGCCTGTAAGCAGCAGCATTTTTGTTGGAATCGTTGCACTAGTGCATCAAACCCATGGATGTTCGTGCGGCATGCGGGGGCGCCAGCAGGGCGGCCGGCGGAAGCGGCGGCCGCTCCAGGCGACTTGATGCCTGATGCGGCACGGTTCGCGTCCGGAAGGTGTTGCAAAGCCATCCAGGGTGATCCCCCGGGAGGTTTAAGAGGGCGTGGAGACATGTAGGTGCGCAATTCCGGTCAACTGGCCTCACTCGCCTCCGTGAGTGATGTAGACTGCAGGGGCGCGCAATCTTGCCATCCCGGCTGCTTCTGACTGCTCGTCCAAGCTGGGACCCGAGGTGGGCAGCTCTCTCGGGAGAGAGGAGGGCAAGCACCAACCCTGTGAGAGCAAGGCCGATCGTGAGCTTGAGCATTCAGTGGAGAGAAATACATAGCGATGCGCTCTTCTAGAGATCTTCAAGTACGTGCCCGGATGAGGAGTGCATGCACAATGATGACATCAGCCGACCCCGCGGCGCTGCAAGCAGCACAAGGTGTGTTGCAATGGAATTGACCATCGGCGTGATTCTCTCACATTCTCCAGGATGTACATCACAGGAATCAGTTGCACAGTGAAGCAGCTGGATCAGCAGGTCAAGGAAAATCGCAGGAAGTGGACTCCTGGCGACGTTGGGTGGGCGGCGATCAACTCGGGTGGTCACACATTGTGCTGGTGGCCGGGCAGGTGGTAGCCTGCGCCGCCGTGCCCACGCCAGTACTGCAGCCGGTTCCAGGAGACCAGCGCCACGCCCAAGAACAGCACCCCCAGCATCCAGGGCTGGGCGACTGCGAGGCAAGCAGGCACAGGGAAGCAGTGGGCCCAAAGGGGGGAGCAGAGAGGGTGGGTATGGGCGTAGCAGCCTGGGGCGCTGATGCCGGCCCTCTAGAAGCACAAAGAAACAGCAACCGACCCAGATGCACGGGCTGACCCAGCGGCAAGTGGCAGCAATCTCACTTGAGTGCCCCAGCGCCTGCTGCTCATTCTTGGGGTGCCATGCCTCGCCCTCCTCCTCTTCCTCTGCCGCTGCTGCCGCTGCCTCCTGCTCCTCCTCCTCCTCCTCCTCCTCTGCCGCCGCCGCTAAAGCTGCCATCCCCTCCTCATCCTCTTGCCCATCACCCTGTGGCTTTTCACCACCTGCCGTCTCCTCCTCGTCCGACTCCACAGCCACCTCCTCCTCCTCCAAGAGCTCCACATCGTCCACAACCTCAGCGCCTCGGCCGGTCCCCTTCTGAAGCGGCCCAGTCTGCTCCATCTGCTCCCGCACCTCCTCCTCCTCCTCAGGCGGCGGCATCACCTTGCCCTCTGCTGCTTCCACCTCCTCTCGCTCCTCCTGCTGTTGCCGCTCCTCATCCGCCTCCTGCTCAGGCGGCGGAGGCGGCGCCAGTTTCGCCTTCTGCGCCGCCTTGCTGCCTGCTGCCTGCTGCTTGGATGGCTGCTGGGCGGCCTCGGGGGCAGGCACGCCCCCTAGCGCCTCCTCAGCGCTGTCTGCTGCTCCTGCTGCATTAGCCTTGGGCGCTGGCGACTTGCCCTTGCCCGGCTTGAGCTGCTTCCCCAGGGCGGCCATTGCTGCCGCGGCCTTGCTGGTCATACTTGCCGCCGCGGCTGGCGAGGGGGCAGGCTCTTCGGCTGCTGCTGCCACCTCGCCAACGGCAGGTGCCTGAGCGGCAGCCTGGGCCTCCACCTCCACAGGCTTCACCATGGTGTGTCCCACCGCGTGCGGCACGTCCTCGTCGCCGCCATCACCAGCCCGCGCCTTCTGCCGTGGCGGCTGCACCTCCTCCTCCACGCCACCCTCCTCTTCGTCGCCGGAGCTGCTGCTGCTGCTGTTGCTGCTGCTGCCGGTGCCGGGCTTGGTGCCACCACTTCCATGATCGTGATCATCTACCGGCTTGAGCATGACGTGCCCGATGTGCGACGCTTGCATCCCTGCGGGCTTGCCCAGACCCTCCGCCTCCTGCTGCGCCGAGGCTGCAGCACCGTGGGCATGGCCGGCATGGCCGCTGTGGCCGCCGGCAATGGCATACGCCGGTTTTGCGGGTTTTGCCGGCTTTGCCGCCACCATTTCCTCCTCATCTCCTGCTATGCTCCTGCCGCTGCTGCTGCTGACCAGCTTCGAGTCTGCAGGCACAGTAGTGGAGCAGGCAGGCGGGAATTTCCGCACAGCCCTGAACGTGCCAGCAGCAGGCGGCGCCGAGCCGCTGTAGTCAACCATTGCTTCTTCTTTATTGTAGAGGCTTCTTCGTTTTTTAATGGCGTGTTCACTGTACCTTGCGGCGTGAAGACAAACTTGTGGAGGTTGCCGCTGCCCAGTTCATTCGTTTCAGAGACCACCACCGCCAGGAGCCGCTCGCCTGCAGCAGCAACCCCAAGCGAGGAGGGCGAACATGGAGGCACTTGGAGAGGGTCAGCAGCCACTCTTGCAAGCAGCCACAGCATTGTGTAGCAAGCAACGGGCCCAGGCGACACACGTGCTCCCGTTAGCTCCAACGGTGCTGGTGTAAGGGCGAGGTCATGTGGCACCTCCACCCAGTCCACCTCCCAGTGGCTGCAGCGCGGCACAGGCGGCGTGCGTGCGGGGTTTCCGAAGCAGTGCTGGCTGGGCGAGTAGGCGAGCCAGGCAGCCGGGGCGAGGGCATGTGCCAGTGAGCGCACATGCAGCGGTGCAGAGGCGGCCCTGGGAGGCGGTGTACGATGCAGCGCCACACACTCACTTGCCCACGGCGCCAATGCTGCTTTCCAGCGCCACTATCCAGACCTTGGCGTCCTGGCTGGTGCGCGTCCACGTCAGCGCCAGGACGGAGCCATAGGGGCCCAGCGCCAGCGCATACGGCAGCCCAAACCGTGTCTTCAGGTCCCAGTATCCTGCAGCATGGCAGGGGCAGCGCTGCAATCAAAGGACAGCCATCCAGCTCTTGGCCAGGTGGCCAGCTGCTGGCGCATCCAGCCAGGGCAGAGGCGGCAGGTGAAAGGCTGCTGAGCAGCATGAAGGGCAGTGCCACAGGGGTTGGCACCGGGGCAGCCTGCTGTTCAGCCATGCGGCTGTCTGCTGCAGGAGCAGGCCAGCCCACGCACCCAGGTGCTTGGCGGTGTGCAGCTGGAAAGCATGCACTCGGCCGCCTTCGCGGTCCGCCACCAGCAGCTGCTTGCGGCACTCGTGCACCACCACGCTGCGTGTGGGAGGGCCGAGCATGCGCAGAAAGGGGAGAATGAAGCACGTCGCGCATCAGGGGCGGTGGTAGGACAGCTAGCGCCAGGTGGCGAAGAAGCTGGCCCCAGCAGCAGCGCTGGTGTCAGGGACGCAGCTGTCGCGGCAGCGCCTGGCACCAGCCCACCTGTGCGGCACCTCCATCTGGTCCTCCCTGCGCTGCGGCGTCTGGTAGTCGCGCACCCAGGTGCCGTTGCCATCAAACTCCGCCACACGGCTGTTGCAATACCCGTCTGCGGCACACGTGCGGGCAAAGCAGCAACTGTGGACGGCGGGCTGGGCGGATTGGCAGTCCACTATGGTAGCAGCTGTCGCAGCATGCCGACTTGTAACGCCCTAGCTGCCACCAACGCCTGAGAGCCGGGCCCACCTGCCACAAAGATGCTGCCATCGCGCGACACCGCCACCTGCGTGGGCTTGCAGAACTTGGAGCGCCCGCTGCCCGACTGCATGGGTGTGCCCAGTGCCAGCAGCTGCTCGCCCTGGGGGCTGAACTTGAACGCTTGGTGCAGGGTCACGTCTGACATGCGCCGAGGTAGGGGAGGAAAGCAGGAGGTGATGATGAGATGGTGCACAGCGAGCATGGAGCAAGCCGGTGTGAAGGGGCGGCTGGAGCAACACGCCTGCTGCTGCAAGCGAGGAAAGGAGGTGGCTGGGTGACGGAGCAGGGGCTGGGCGAGGGGACAGGATGCGCACCTGTGACCCACACGTTGCCTTGCCAGTCCAGGCTGATCATGTGGGGCAGCGCAAAGGTGCCGGAGCCCCAGGAGTGCAGCACCTCGCCGCTGTCCTGGTCCAGCTGCAGACCCCATGCGGGGTGCAGGCAGGGATCCCCAGGGTCAGGGGCTGTGTGCTTGCAATGGAAGCACTGAGTGTAGGCAGCCACAACGAGATAACACGGCGGGGAAGCCAATGTAGGGCCGGCGTAATGCCCACCTGCAGCACGGTGGGCCCCGCCAGCAGCCCCGCTGCCTCCTTGTCGCTGCTGGCGCTATGGGAGGAGGCATTCCCGATGCTGCCGTCACTCTGCCAGGCACGGTCGCCACGGTGGAACACCCACACCGTGCCATCCCCCACAGATGCCACGCCAGACACCTGGCCCAGCGGGTAGCTCGAGCCAGCCGAGGCCTTCTTGCCAGCCTTTGCGCTCGCCTGCTTCTTGTCTGGCGCTGCCATCTGCAGCAGGTGCAGCGCGGCGGGTTGGGGGTAGGATTGCGGCAGCACTCTCATATCATGTCCTGTGCAATGCACGGCACGCGCTGTCTTGCTGGCACAGATCGAGAAGCAAGCATCCACCCCACCTGAATTGCAGCTGGAGGCTGCCATACTTGTGTCTCAGGCTGCAGCGTAGAGCCGTCTGGCAAGCCTCCCGCACCATCAAGCTGCAGTGCAGGGGGACAGGCAGCACACTCAGGTATGCCAAGGGCGCAGCAGTTGCCGGATGTGCAGCCTTGCACCTCCCCGCCTCACAACACCACTGCTCCTTTCCGTCTGCACCGCTTCCAGCCAGCTTCTGCAACCAAAGCCGGCGCTCGCCAGGCCACCCACCTCCAGCCACTCCCGCCCATCCATGCACCACATGAAGACAGGCAGGTGGCTGTACAGCATGAGGTACAGGTTGCACATCTCGTCCGAGTGCGTGGCCCCAGCATGCACCTCGTGATGCTGCAGTACAGGCGGGCAGTACAAGCAACTCTAGGAGAGGAGAAAAATGGCGGGTGGGCAGTGGCACAAGCACAACCGACGCACCACGCCTGAGCTGTTGAAGCGGCAGGCCATGGCCAAGCGGTCGCCGGGCAGGATCGTCGCCTCCGGCTTGATGGGGTAGAAGCCCTGCAGGCGCAGTGGTGGAGCGTGCCGCCGCCGGCATGGCATCGTCAGCGCAGCTCAGGCACGGAAGAGGCAAGCGGATGCGGGTGGGCAACAGCAGCAGCACGGGGAGGCAGCAGCACGGGCAGAGATCCTGCCCACGCCGAGACAAAGTGCCTGGCAGCGGGGCGGCAGCGTGCCTGCTGCTCTTGAGGGTCCAGGCTGATCACGCGGTTGGGCTTGGAGGGGCTGCCAGGCGGAAAGAGGTCGAGATACACCTCCCTGTAGCGGCGCGGGGCAGCAGATGAACACACCTGGCTCGCATGCCAGGCAAGGCAACAGCCCGGTTTGGAGCGACACAGCGCGGCCCGCCCCGCCCTGCGCCTTGGCGGGCCGCGCTCACCTACCCAGCGCGTGTGTGTGCACCCGGGTGGCGAAGCCGTGCAGCGGCTCCCACCCGCTGTAGCAGCAGGTGTTGTCCACCACTGTCTCTGGGGTGTCTGGCGGTATAAAGAATGCGGAGGCAAAGGCAACCATGCCGGCAGAGTTGGGCACCTCTTGTGGGCTGAGGCGCAGAGTGAGGCCTGAAGTATCGTTGGCTGGCCGGCCATTTAGGTAGTGCATCTGCGAGAGGAGGGGAAAAGGGAAGGGTAGCGGGGGAGCAGCGCTGATTGGCACGTTGCGCCAAAGGCCGGGGAAGCAACTGGTAAGGGTCCAGCGATGGTCTGCGGCTGTCAACCAGCTGCAGGATGTGCACCTGCCACCCATGCCATACGCGCAGCTGCCACCCACCTGCAGCACCACGGTGCGGATGCTCGTGCCAGGCCCCACACTGAAGCCAGCGCCGTCTGGCACCGCCATGGCAGGCGCATTCTTGCCCCACCCATACAGCACGTTCTCGCTGCCGCTGTCCTCGCACGCGCTCATCATGCGGCAGTTCCAAACCTCGGCGGTTTGGGCCGGCGCTTTGCAGCCTGAACCCAGGCAGCCAGGCGGGGCGAGAATCGGGCTTGCAGTTCATGAACAAGAGCAAACCGGCTGATCATCAGCTAGCCTGCTATCCGCTGCAAGCACCAGCAGCACAGAGGAATTGCTGGCCCCTTCTCTGCGCTGCTGTATGCCCAAACCAGGGGGCTTACCAAACAGCAGCATGTGGTGCACGATGCGCTGGTCTGAGTTGGAGCTGATGCCCACCAGCTTGAGCGGGCGGTCTGGCAGCGGCACCGAGGTGCACAGGTAGGCGTCCTCCTCGTTCGTGGGGTATTCGGGCAGCACCACAGGCAGCTCAAAGGCGCCGCTGGGTTCTGCTCCACCCGACTCGGCGGCTGGGGCGGGCGCCTCGGCGGCGGGGTTTCGTCCAGGAGTGCCGTCTGTTACAGCCTCTGCTCCAGGCGCCGCGCGAGCTGCTGCTGCTGCTGCTGCCCCTGTGGCGGGCTCGGTGCCATACGCGGCCTGCAGCGGGGACGTGGTGAGGAGGGCTTCGGGACGTGGTGAGGCGGGCACTGCCGGCGACAGCACCCTCACCAGAGATGCCCCACCCAGGCTGACATTGAGTCTGCATGCAGCACTGCCGCTTATGCGAAAGCACAGGAGCTGCTTAGGGGCTCTCAACCGCAGAGAGAGCGACTTGCCTTGGCGGCTCCGGCAGCCGCCACAGCCAGTGGCAACAGCACTCCTGTGATCACGGTGGCCAATCGCATGGTCTCCCGCTCACTATAACCAGCGAATTTACCCAACCCAGAAAACACCAGTAAGCTGAACCCTCTTCTGCTGGGCGGGCACGCTCAAACATTCAAAGGCCGGTTGTAATAATGCTTTCCTGCACTTTTTCCGTCTGTACTGCTGCTGACTTGGAAAACGTACGTCAACCCCACAAGAGGCCTCCACGGGCGTGCCCGCGCACTTCTTTGTTCGCGTATGCACGCTTCTACACGCCATCGTTCACCCTGTCGTGCCCCTTGGCTGGCTCGGGAGGTCCTGCGGCGCGGCCCATATGGGGCGGATTGCGAGCACGGGCGGCGGCTCAGGAGGGCTGACGCTGTCGTGGGCCCTGCAGCAGCTCAACAAGCAGCTGGGCGGAGGGAGCTTTGAGCTGGGCTTCGAGCAGATGGCCCGCGTGCAGCCCGACCGCCCCTCCCCGGCAGCCGCGGCAGGGCGCAGCCACGCGTGCGGCCAGGAAGAGGGCAGCAGCCGCAGCGGCCAGGGCCTGGGCTGCGTGGTGAGTCCGGCCACACGAGGCCTTAGCAACCGCGTGGGCAACCAGCTGGCATGCGTTGCAAGGGAGCAGGGGAGGGGCTGTCCAGGCGGGGTGGAGGTGCCCGGGGCAGGCGCGAGCACCCGCCTACTGGGGCAGGTTGCTGGGAGGGGTTGCCGGGCGCGCGCCCGCCGGCACGCGCCCCTGTCCTGGAACGCGTAGCTCTGCCACCACTCAGGTTCTGACACCCCACGCTGCCCTTTGCACCTGATTGCAGACCCCCAGCAACTCGGACGCTGGAACGCACCCCGCCGCCGACCCCCGCAGCACCGAGCAGCTGCAGCAGCAGCAGCCCATGCACCGCCCCCGCTCCTCCACGCACCTCAGCGTGCACTGGGCAGAGGCGCTGGAGCAGCACAACCAACGCCCGCACGCCCCGCAGCATAGCAACTTTGCGCCCGACAAGCCCTGTCTCAAGCCTCGCCAGAGCAGCTTCCCATTCCTCGAGGAGGCGGCTCAGCTGGATGGCCTTCTCCGCCGCCCCCGTGCGCTCGTCCTGGCGCAGCTCAACATTGGCAGCGGCAGCGCAGGCGGCGGCAGCAGCGCCGAGGTGCACGCCGCCATCAAAAAGCGCAACCGGGTGGCGGCCTTTGGGCAGTGAGCCGGCGCGCCAGCGGCACGCGACCTGCGCTATCCACCGGGCATAGCACCTCCAGCGCTCCCCGCACCTTGAGCTGCATAGCAGCAGCCCAGCAGCCTCACACCTCCATCATGTTCCGTCTGACGTCGACCTTACTACCGCAGCCAGAGTGGCAGCCTTTTTCCACCACACCACCTAACAGAAATTGCAGCACAAAAAAAGTTACCTTCTTTCTGTAGATGCTCTCTCATGTCAGCTGTAGATCCCTGGCGTCTCACTGCTTTCTTGTGTCGCTGTGCACCCTCTGTGCCATGATATCTTCGTTCCCCCACACCTCTTTCTCCCGCAGCTCCCGTATCTCCTTTCTCTGCTCGCCCTCCCAGCGCATGCCGTCCCCTCGTGCCTGCCTTGCTGTGTGCTGAGTGCCAATCCTCTTCCAGCATTGCTCTAGTCTTTCCATGCATAGCACCGTTGTGCCCCCTGCGGCGCACGGTGCCCGACCCCAGCTGCAACCTGCTGGCCTCTGGCTCCCGGTGCAGTCCTGCCATGCCCCACGGCTCGGCAAGATGCAACCCCCTTTTTGATTACATCTCCCTGACTGACTCCCACACACAATACACACACCCAGCTTGACCTTTAGCGCGGCACCCCCGCACCCGCTCGCTTTTCCTGCTTTCCTTTTGTCGTCTCATCCCTCCTTCTGTGGCCTGCAGGCACGGATCGTTACAGCCCTGCCAGGGCGTGCGTCGGGCCTGCATTCAAACCAGCCAACCACACCCATCACCGCTCGCTCTGTGTCATTGCTTACGCTACCTCTCTTGCCGCTCTCTTCTGCCTTTGGGGATAACCTCTTCTCTCCACACTTGCCTTTTCCATGCACAGCCACCTGGGTCGGCACGGTGTAATGGAGTGCTACAGGTGGATGAGAGTACACGTGTTATGTCGAGGAAACACAGGGCAGAAGGCACTGGAATGGAAAAGGAGGCGCAGTCGGCTGGTCATCAACCACATGGGTATGGTAACTACTGCAGCCCCCGTTTCAGGCTAGCCTTGGCTTGCAGTTCCAAGAAGTATGGCCGCAGCGCAGTCAGAACGAAATTGAGCCGAGCACCACAGTCCTGGCTGAAGGCAGGCAGAGGCAGCAAACGGGCGTGCAGTTAACGTGGACATTTCCCGGCCAGAGCAGCAGGGAGGCGCTGGGCCAGAGGGTGTGACCAATGCCAATGCTGGCAGCCATGCCCGCCCACCAGCCCAGCCCACCAGCCCAGCCCACCAGTCCAGCCCTCCAGCCAGCCATATGGCGCACCTGAGCAGCAGGGCAGCACGCTCTGGCGTGCCCATCACCAGCAGCTGCGCGGCGGCAAAGGAGAACAGCTCCTGGCGTCGCGCCTTCCCCAGCGCCTCCCTGATCGCCTCATAAGGGTCGGGTGCGGTGGCGCTGCTGCGGTCGGTTGTCTTGTACACGCTGCCATGCCTGGCAGCAGGTGGACGTGCGGCAGCAGCACCAGCAGCAGCTTGAGCCCACTGGGACACAAGCTGGTTGGGCCCCAATGGCAGATAGGCACGCTGATTGCCTGCACGTACACTTACACTGGCACAGACGAACTGTCCAGCTGCGCACCTGCGCCACATCTCGATGTGTCCAGCTGCCATGTGCCCCGCCGCCTTCAGTGCGTGGTAGCTGGTCCTGCGCTGCACCGCCGGCGGCGCATACTGCCGCACAGCCTCGGGGAGCTCGCTGCCGGGGGACACCACCGCAGACAGGCTCTCAATCTGTGGCAGGGTGGCAGCAAAGGCAACGTGGCAGGCGTGCCATTAATATGATACAACAATACAAGCAGCCAGCAAAGCCAGCTGCCAGGCACACATACGGCAGCAAGCGTTCATGGCCTGCATGCCACGCGCGGTCGGCCAACCCGCGCGGTTCGTGCCTGCTGCAGCAGCTTGGTGGCTTCCCGCTCCAGCACATCCACAGTGGGGTCCAGGTCTGGCACCTGGGCATCGTCGTACCACTCGGCCGCCACCACCGTGTATGGCTCCTCCTGCTGCACCAGCAACAACTGCATCCGCCGCGTGCCGCAGTACGAAACTGCCAGCGTGCCATCTTGGAGCTCCTGCAGGGCAGGGAGAAGCCGACAGATCAGGCTGGGCGGATGCACAGCCGCCCGCCAGCCAACGCCTGCGCCATCCACCTCTTCGACCCATGCCCCACAACCCGACATGCGTCTGCCCGCGTGCCCGCCCACGCACCTCTATCGCCTGAACCTCTGCGCAGCATGCGATGCGGGGCATGCCCCCCACCGCATTCTCTAGCAGTGCTGGCGGCGCTGCGCTGGGCGACAGCGTATGCACAAAGCGTGCGCCCGCCCCCCGCGGCGCCTCTTTCAGCAGGTCATGAAACATGGCAAGGTAACGAGGTTGATACACTGCGGCGGTGTCAGGAACAGTCAACATGAGGTTGGCAAGGCAGGCTTGCCACCAGAGCGGGGAGTCGCAGGTGGAGCAGACACAGGGCAGAGGGACACGGAAGCTTGCTGTCACCTCTGAGGATGCCCTTCTGGGTTGGGTGGAGTATGGTATTGAGCGGGAAGGCGGGAAGGGTCAGGAGGGACGGGTCCTGCTGCTGGGAACCGTGCTGGGTGGCGGCGGCCAGGGCGCCACCGCGCTGGCCAACCCCACCGCGCTGCTGGCGACGGGGAGGGCGGCAGAATGTGATGGCCAGCTGGTCATTAGCGATTTTAGCCAAAGCAGGGCTGGCGATCGGCATGGTGTCGGTTCAACAAAAGACGACTAGGGCAAGCTCTGGACCTCCAACCAGCGGTGACTTAGACCCGTGTTTCGATCTCAAGCTGTCACCAAGCGGGTTTCCCCATGGTTGCTGCAGGGCAAGGTATGCGCCTCGCTGGCGGCGCACTGACTTGGCGGCGGCAGACTGACCTTGCATCATTCGACTTCAAATTCAAGCCATAATAAGCCTGATGACAGTGTGCATGCACGAACTGATGTTGCCTCGTCGCAATTGAAGGGTTGGTATTGGCCGGCGCTGCGACACACCGTGGCGCCATTCGCCGCTGCCATTCACCGCAGCGAAAACTCGACCGACTGCCTAACTGCCTAGGGAAGTGCATAGGGGATCACAATCTGGACATCAGCAGAGGTCCGCATCCAAGCAGCAATCGAATCATAGGAGATCGAGCGATGCATTGACGCCAGCCGACGCAGCCGCCAGCGTGCAAGCCAGATGGGCGGCTGGATCTGGAGGCTGTGATTGATAATAGAGTGCAGCAAGGTACACCTTTTGCACTGTGCAAGAGGAGGCCAGGAGGGAGCTGGAACCTACCGCCTGATCGTCACCAGTAGTGGCCACGCTCCCGCGGCTGCCACGTCTCCCGCAGCGCCTGGCCCTCCTCGCCGCTGCTGCTGTACTCGCACTCGCTGTCCTCCTCTGCGCGCGGCGGCAGCACGGTGCGGTCTGGCACGTCCTTGAAAGCGTAGAGGATGAGCAGGTGCCTACCGGCATCCCAGCTGCATGCAGCACCCGGGGGGTGCAGCGGTAGGAGGAATCGTCAGCAGCACGGAAGCCAGCGCCACCAGCGACGGGGCAGCACTCAGCGCTCCTGACACCAGAGCCTCCCTGCCTGCCAAGTGCGCACACACAACCGATGAGCGCCGGTGACAAAACAACGTGCAGGACCGGCAGGAGGCATGCTGGGCGCAGCGGGCTTACGGATGCGGGACATCAGAGGGTTTGTGCATGCACTGCGGCCAACGCAGGCCCGCCATTGCGCCGTAGTCGTAGTCATTTCCATGCCTGTCGATGTAGTCGCAATCCGTGCTGGCAAACAGGCTCCTGCTGGGTGCATGCCACTGCAGGCAGGCAGCACGCATGAGCAATGCGGGGGTGGGCAGGGTTGGGCGAGCGCCAAGGCGGCGGCTGCAGGGCAGCAAGTGGCATGCTCCGTCCTGCTGCGCCAGCCTGGCCATGTCACTCGGCTTCGCTACACACAGCTCAGAACAGCTGCAGGCAGCCCAGGAAAGCAGAGTGCCTGCACGACATCGAATCCAGAGATCTCAGTTTGCCGGCGGCACAACTCAGCGCGACGCGCCTGCAGGCTCACGACATCGGTGTTGCCGGTGGCGAGCTCGTACAGGCAGCGCCGCGTGCGCAGGTCCCAGCACAAGATGGCCTCGTCGCTTCCGCCGAAGGAGAAACAGAAGGGCTGGCCCTGCATGTGGAACGTGGCACAGGGGTGGGCAGGCAGGCATCGGACGGCCACCAAGGCGACTGGGGGCACTGGTGCATTGATGGAGGGGACCCATGTGGTCATCAAGCATGGCAGCACTCTTCCATGTGGTGCAGTTCAGACAGCTGAACACCAGCCCGGAAACCGGGTTTGCTAGTGCTACATATTTGGTTGGCTGCTGCAATAGGCAGGGCTACCCGCCCCACCTGATCCTCTGCCAGCGCAACTGCCCTCACGCCGGTGCAGCCCTTGCTGGCCAGCACATGCGTGCAGGCGTGGGTGCGCAGGTCCCACACACGTACGGTGCCGTCGTCTGCGGCCCAGGGAGTGGAGGGGGTTGCAAAACTGGCATTGGGAATCTTCTAGATTCTATCGCGACGAGGCGTGGACAGCCCGGCAATCCAGCCTGCAGGCAGGCAGGCAAGTAGGCAGGCGGCGTGTTCCACCCACATGAGCCTGCGGCCACCAGGTGCGGCAGGCCGGCCGAGGTGGAGGCATCGGTGACGAGTCCAGCGTGGCCAGTCAGCAGCGCGCTCAGTGTAGCGGTGGGCCAGTCAAACACCCACAGGCTGGCCGACTTATCAAAGCTTGCCACCACCTGAATGTAGCAATGTGTTAAGGAGACAGCAAAACACAGCAGTAAAAGAGTAAGTATAAGCGGTGAAATCCCCAAGGTGGTCAAGGTAGTGAATGCACTGTCCCGGCAGCTGCAATTCACTGGCTGTGAGGAATGAAGGATGCCAGTAGCAGCAGCAGCGCTGACAGTGCTCATAGTGTGCCGCCAGCGATGCCACTCCCCAGCCAGTCAAGCACTTCAGCCTGGCACCGCAGCATGCCGGCGAGCGCACCTGCTGGGGCTCTGCATCGCCCTCCAGCTCAGGCCCCACCACCAGCAGATGTGTGACAGGGCCTAACCTGCCTGATCCCTGCCCCACAAGGTGGATCTTGCCATGAGGCCGATCGCCTGCCGTCGCCTCAGCTTCTGCAGCGCAGCAGGCAGAACGCAGCGTATGCGTCGATGTGGGTTGATGGCGGCAGCAACAGCAGGCAGGCTGCAGGGTGCATGCAAGGGATGCGGCGTGAAGGTAGCGCACAACCGCAGTCCATGCACAGCATGCCACATCCCAGACACCACACAACGTAGCCCACCTGCAAAATCGTCATTCATTGAGTTGTCAATCCCATCCAGCGCCTGCATTCATTCACAGGATGGCTGCCGCCTGCCTGGACAGGGGAGTAGACACCGAATGCGGAATGCTGGCACCCGTGAAAGCATTGCTCAGCACCAGTAGCTGCGGAAGCTGTGCTGAATCATGCCCACACACCTTGCAGCCGTATTCGCGCTCCATCTCATTTGCATCCTGCTCATGCACCGCCATTGCCTCGATCCACTGGCGCTGCGGCGTCAGCCTGCGGCCGCAGAGGGTGCAGCAGCAGGGCGTGGCGCAATGTTCCTGCCCGCAGCGCATGCAAGCGCCGGCTCAGCTGCTCCCGCCTGACTGCCTTGCTAGAGAAATCATCATGCGCCAGCTGCCACCAGTCATGTGCCAGCTACGAAAAGCATGACGCCCCAGGTGTGCTGCCAGAGAGGCCTCCCTGGCCACACTGGCCACCCCGGCCTCCCTGGCTGCTTCGAAACGCTCCCCGTATATTGATCCATAGCACTTTGAACCCACCTGGCAATGTCCCAATACTCCACCGATCCGTCGTCAAGCGCAGACAGCACGCGGCCGCCCAGCACGCCTAACAGGTCTGCTTGGGCGCTTTCCAGCGTGAACTGGCAGGCGCCCTGCCCCGTGGCCCCGATGCGAAAGGCCTTGATGCGTGACTCCCCTCCAGCGGACCACACCAGACCGCGGGGTGGGTCCAAAGCCACACGGCAGCCTCTGCAGGGGAAGCAGTTGTGGCAGCGGCGGCATGCGCGTGAGCGAAGCTGAGGGCAGCGTGTGTGCGAACGGTGCCAACGGTGAGCACCGGAAGGAAACAGGCAGCATAGTCCTGCCCATCGCCAGCCCCTCAGCCCAAAGCCAGCCAGCCAGCCAGCCAATGGGCCAGCGCACCTCTCAAAGAAGCCAGTGATCAGTGAGCTCAGGCGGTTTCGCCAGTCGTCGTCGCCTGCCCTGTCGCCGCCGCCTGCCCTGTCGCTGTCTCCGCCGCCATGGTAGGCACCGCCGGCATCGTCGCTGATGCGGCCGGCCGCCAGGTAGGGGCCGCGCTGCTTCCAGCCGGTGCCGCCCACAAATGCAAGGAAGTCGCCGCCCACACAGGCCGTGCCGCCACTGGGCTGCTCCTCACAACTGACCTGCGGGGCGGGTGGGCAGGGCAAGAACAAGGGATCGGCAGGCAGGACAGGCACCGACTGAACCAAGCAATTTCATTCCATCCATGCTGGTGAGATGCGGTGCCAGCAGGCCCCTGCATGCATATGCAGTCGGCGTGTGTGCTGGCTTCCCAGCAAGCCCGAATACGCAGGCTCTGTGATGTGAGGCCCACCTCGCAGCGTGCCTCTGCCACCGCCACTCCAGCCGCGGCGGCGGCGCCGGCAGCGGTTGGGACCGGATAGTATACATCAAAGCGCGCCACATCGCACGCGAGCGTCGGACGCTGGCTGCTGGCGGCTGGCACCATTCGGGCACCAATGGTTGCCTGCAACCCTCCCAGTTCCTGCAGGAAGGAATCGCTTGTCGGGGGGGGGGGGGGGGGGGGGGGGGGGGGGGGGGGGCG